AGGCCTCCAGGTTGTTCTTTTGTGTATCAGCGGGTGTGTATGTGTGTGTGTGTGCGTAAGTTACTGAAATGGAATTGTACTCTAAACACAGTTGTCCAGCTGGCTTTTTTCACTTACTAATGTATTTTGAGTATTCTTCTATAATATAAGCATTTTCCTGTATCACTAAAACACTTACTTGAATGGTATTTTAAATGGCTACATAATATTTTCACATTTAGATGTACTCTGTTTTATGTAGTCATTCTGTAAGGCTGCCAGATTAGATCCAAGTAAATATTTATTCACATTTCAGATTCTTTCCCTAAGCTAAGTCCCAGACTGCCCCAAGTCAGACAAACATTTTTAAGTTTTCCTTCCAAAGAGAGTTTATCATTTTACACTCTCATCAGTAGCTTACAGAAATATGCCGTGACAGCAGTCACAAACGACTGTGATCACTTAGAAAAAGATCTGTGTTGATATCATAAGTGGAAGAACTCTTGTTTAATTTACATTTCTTAGAATAAGAGAGGGTTCAGTGCTCCGGCATGTTTAATGATCTTCCTCGATGATTTTTGGGACAGAGGTAATCTGCCCCCTATTTTTTTAAAAAATATTTTTTCTTTATTAATTTTAGAGAAGAAGGGAGAGGGAGAGAGAGACAGAAACATCGATGAGAGAGAACATCGATTGGCCACCTCCTGCATGCCTCCCACTGGGGATCGGGCCCACAACCTGGGCATGTGCCCTGACCAGGAATCAAACTGGTGACCTCTTGGTGCACAGGTCAGTGCTCAACCACTGAGCCTCACCAGCTGGGCTGCCCTCCTTTAAAACAAAACAAACCTCAGAGGAGAGGGGTGGGGGGAGGGAAGAGATAAACCAAAGAACTTATATGCATATACGCATAACCAATGGACACAGACAACAATACTGGGGGGGGGGGGGGCTGGGAGGAGGGTGTTGATGGGGGGAAAAGGAGAAACATCTGTAACAAAAATAAATTAATTTAAAAATAAATAAATAAATAAAAGCTAAAAACAAAACAAAAAATTAATTCCCTGCTCAGATTCCTTAGAACTTCCTGGGCTCATTCCTGGACCCAGAGCTGGGTGTTCTGCCCCATTGGGTCAGAAGCCTCCCCCCTCTCTAGTCTGGTGCGGATTTTAGGTGGCCTTCTGCTCCCTCTAGTGGCCTCACCGGCAGCTGCAGACTCACCTCCTTTCTCACCATCCCTGTGGAAAATCCTAGAGTGAAGTAATTAAAATGAACTTCCCTGGTCTGGGGGTTGTGTTAGTAAACTGAAATCATTTAGTCGTAAGCACTCATCGTTACCTTATTTTAGCAGAGTCAGGAAGTACTTGTGAAGGTTCTAGAACCTTCTAGAAGTGCGGGTAAACTAGCTTTGAGGGAAAGATAGGAAAGGCTTTGAGAGCACAAGGCTTGTAGCCTTCTAACATATGCCTCACTCCTCACTCCATCACAATTTGTTTCAGGCTATAAATAATATAATCAGTGCCGAAAAAAAGAATTAAAAATCACCCATTTCCATACTCAAAGATAATAACCATTAACATTTGGTATACATTGGGTGTGTACAAGCATACATATAATTTTGCAGTCACATAGGTGTGTATGTATATATCCATGTCTGTACACACCCACACATACTTTTATACCCTCCTTTAGAGAATTGTAAATAAGTCTCTGGGTCATTAAATCTCTTTTTGAAAACAATCTTTTTTTATGGCTGCATAATAGTGCTAATGCCATCATCTATTTGATAGGAATTAGACATTTGGTTGGTGCTCATTCATTTTTTGTGGGCAATTATAAATGATGCCGAGACGAAGCACCTTTAACAACTGAACTCTGATCGTTTTCTTATAGTAGAGTTTTTGGGTCAAAATAATCTGCACTTTCTAAATTCTATGAATATTTAATACCAATTTTCTCCTCAAACCTTGTTCCAGTTTCCACTGTTCCTCGCAGAGTGGAGAGTGTCTGTCAATGTCGTCATAACTCTTCACCTTCTGCCGGCCTGACGCAGCGTGGGATATTTTAAATATGTCAGTTTTTTAATCATTAAAAAAGTTAAAGATTTTCTTTTATATTTGTTGGTCATCCATGCTTCTTTGGTCATCTGTCTTTGCCTGTGTCTTTTTTCTCTATTGGACTGTTATTTGCATTTTAGGATTAAGTTCTTTTTTGTCATATGGTGCAGATGTTTCTCTAGTTTGTCATTTGTCTTTTGGTTTATATAATTTAATCTAAAGAGGTGTGTGTGTGTGTGTGTGTGTGTGTGTGTGTGTGTGTGTAGTTAAACTACAGGAAAGTACTGTAGGAGATAACTTTATAGCCACAATGTACAAACATTTATATTACGGATAAATTGGAATCATCTTGCTTCCCACCCTACTTCCCCCTTTCCGGGCAGCTGCTCTTGTGAATTGAGGGCACAGGTCCTGCAGTCCCAGTTTTTCTTTTCTTTTCTTTTTTGTTTCAGTATGTGCCCCTCACGGGAACCAAACCCGGGACTCCCTGGTCCGCAGGCCAGCACTCCACCCGCTGAGCCAAAACGGCCAGGGCCCAGTTTTTCTACTGTTTCCACACATTTGGATATTAATAAACAACACGCAGTCCTAGTTTGAGTGCATGCTATGACTTACACATATAGTAGCGATGATATTAATGCATCACTGAGCAGCGTTCCCGTTTGCACATCAGCTTGTTTAATTCATAATAATATGCACCAATCCAGTTCATTTTGACTGCTATGTAACATCTCATTCAGTGACTTTAACTCCAGCATCTCCCTCCCTGTATGCATCAGTTTTTCTATACTGGTGAGCACTGCGGATGTTTCTGGGTTCCCAGGTTTTTATTTCAGGGCTACAGAGGACATCTGTACATGTGCGGTAGGAGAGCTCGAGGGGCACCCCTAGGCCTGTGTTGCAGGTCATGTGGATTTTCAGGAGTACGGGCTCTTGCCAAATTCTTCCCGAAGCGGTTGTGCCAGTCGACACGCCCCCCCAGCTGTGTGAAAGGCTCCTCTTGTCGCACGGCGCCCCCAGGTCACGGTACTGTCGGGCTTGGTGGGTTCCGCCCGTCTGGGAATGAGATAGCGTCTCACCGTGTTTTAATTCGCACGTCCTGGTTGCTGGTGGGGTTGACCATCCTTTTAAATGGTTAGTGCCTAGAATTTAATGGGTTTTCTCTTCTTTGCACCTTCCCTTCCTATACTTTGCCCATTTTTCCACTGGGTTACTTGTCTTTGTCTTCTCGAGTGTTGGTGTTCTTTATGTTTTAGGTACTAGTTCCTTGTTAGGTGGGTTGCAGCCACCTTCTGATCCCTGGCCTGCCTTTTATCTCTTCAATTCAGCATTTACTGCCCTTGTCAGACCATCCCCAAGCCCTCCTAGTGCGTAGCTGATGTGAAATCACATTCTATCCTAAGGGGTGTAGCACGTACTCAGAGTCCTACCGAGTCCTCAGGAACCAGTGAGAGGGCTCGGGAGACACAGAAACAACAGTGGGTCTGGCAGCAACAAGCACCACACAAAGAAGGGTCTGCCCAGGCCAGGAGGAGGCGGGGCCTTCCACAGAGGAGGGTACGGAGGCGGAAAAGTGGATGGTCAGCCCGCCGTCTGCGTCCTTTCTTGACCTCAGCCTCCATTGCAGCCTGCAAGCCTGCAGCCATGCTCACCCAGCCAGGGGGCGCTCTTCTGCCTCCCGTGGCCCCCAGTCCACCCGCCGCCGACCCCCTCTATCCGCCTCCCTGCTGGGCAGCAGTTTGATTTTTCCAGCAGTTTGTCTTTTGAACTTTGTTGTTTTATGTTGGACAGAAGTTTAGATTTTCGATGTCACATTTATCAGTCTTTGCTTTCATAAGATGCGGTTTTTAGGTCTTACCTAAGAAATCCTGTTCCGTGCCAAGGTCCAAGACAGTTGCCTGTCATTTCCGATAATAGCTTTTGTTTTTCGCACTGAGGTCTTAGATCCACCTTTTGTAGTTGAACTTATTTCCTCTGCTGTGGCTTTTCGTCGGCGTGGATACTTGCAGAGTCCCCTCTGAGCTCCAAGGCCACATCCACAGTCTCTCTTCTGTCGCCCTGTGCTCGGCCTGCTCTGGGGACACTCTGGGTTTGTCTGTGTCCCCAGTACTGTTAATATTTGTGACATTGGTGACTTAGGTTTCATGTGTGGACCCTGGCTCCAGGGGCTCGATTCCACTAGTGTTTAGAACCCCTTCAGCTTTTGAAACTCCCGAGGAGTCTGGTGGGTGTGCTTTGTGCCTGGCGCTGGAGTCTTGGAGCCGGGCACACGGCTGAGGCACGGACCCGGGGTCTCCCGCCGGCTGCTCCTGCTCACCGTGAACACCTGGCCCATTGTGTTTTTTCATGAGGGATCAAAGGAACGATAACGTAAGTTATTCTTGTCAGTGTTCTAGCTCCACGGACACTAAAGTGACAGCTGAGGAGTCAGGGTGCTTTGGGTTTTTCCCGTGGCCGCTCGCCCCATTTAGATCCCAAGAAAACACGAAAAATCCTTATCCTTCCAGCAATGTGTACTTTCCGTAGTTCAGATGAAAAAAGATCTGAAAATAAGGAAAACAGGAGTGGACCAATTTACAGGACTTTCCTGATAGGATGTCACCAGTGTCCCCTGGAGAACATGTCGAAGGCGATGGTCCCAAACCCCTGGGGGAAACAGGAGCTTCACAAGAGACTGTTGCCCGGTGCCCCCACTTGTGTGCCCCAGCCTTCCTGCCACCAGCGTCTCACTGCCTGTTCAGCAGGACCGTCCCGGTCAGCCCTTGGCAGCGCCTCCAGGGGCGTCTCCTGGCCTCAGCCCGCCCACTGCCAGGGGCCACCAGCGGCTTCACTAACCACAAACCTGCCTGCAGTTGGCATTGTCTGCGTGTCTGTTTCTGCGTAAAGAGATTTTGCCTTTCTTTTCTGTCTGTTCGCTGCATGGTAACATTTTCTTTTCACTCTGCCTCTGTGTTTTTTCCTTAGGCCGGAAGCTGAGAGGAAAAGCCTTCTATTTCGTCAACGGCAAAGTGTTTTGCGAGGAAGACTTCCTGGTGAGTTTGTCCCCAGGTCGTCTCTCCTGCCGTCCTGACCAGAGCTGGGCATGCGGAGGGGCTGGCCGGAGAAGAGGGTGGGCTCTCCGGGTCCCCGTGTCGGTGGGACGGCACTGCTTGAGAGAGGAGTCCTGCCCTGCCCTCTGTAGATGTGAGGGGTGGCCCGTGCTCCTGAGGCAAAGGACCGACCACAACACTCTGTGCCTTGAAGGCACCTGAGGGTCACTTGGCCTGTCCTCTTGTTGCTTCTCCCATTTCTCCCTCCCCCCCAAAAAAACCTTCGGACTGGGACCTGGGCCTTCCTTCCTTCTCTTTCTGCCTGCTCTCCAGGGAGATCCAGCCTCCCCCATGCACGGACAGCCCGTCCATGTGCCAGTGATCCCCGATCTGAGCTCCAACCCTGTCAGCACCCCTGAGGCCATCTCGCTGCCCACAGGACAGTCCCTGGCCTGAAGCAGAAACATCTCCTTGCCTTGGGTCCTCATCTCTGAGAACTGTGTCCCAGGTTCCTCCTGTGCCCTCTTCCTGCCTGTCCCCGAGTGCAGCCAAGCATGGAGCCTGGGGCCACCTGGGCCTCCCTGGGCCTGCGCAGCTGGCAGAGTCGGGGTGGCCCAGCCGGCTGGCCTGATCCCCTCCCACACTATCTGCCTGTCCTCCTGGCCTGCCGGGCCCTGCACCCCAGGGTTCGAGGCTGGCGCAGGAAAGCTCTCTGCATCCGGAGCCTGCCTCTGCCCAGCCCTGTGTTCCTCACTCTGCGCTTGCCATTCTCTGCATGCCCGCCAGCCTCCCCTTCCGGCCTTAGCTGTGCCGTGTACCCTGCTACAGCCCTTCACCCTGTCTTTGCCCGGTAACTCCGACGTCCTTCCTTGTCCCTCCTGCCCCCACATGGGACACGCCGCCCCCCGCGGCCCCGCCTGGCCGAGCAGTTAGCGCAGCATCGTGTCCATTTACACGCCTTCCCGTCCTGACTGTACTGTATGCCCCTCCCCCGGAGGGAAGCCCGTGCTTGTCCACGTTTCGGTCACCAGAGCCGAGCAGTGCCGAGTGTACAGTGGGCCCGGCACAGGGTGTTGAGCTGAGCCTGCGTTTCAGGGATGAGGAGCTGAGACCCAGAGGTGGCCGGGGGCCAGCTTCTTTGTGGATGTGCGCATGGATTCGTTATGACTCGTGTTTGCCGGCACAGACAAGCAAACCCAAGCTGGATTGAGCAACAAGGAAGGTCATTCCAGCAACGCCTTTGGGACTCATTTTCTCTTTAGTTTTTGGGCCTGCCTCTCATTGTGTTGGCATCAGACTCGGGCACTGTGTGATGGCCGGATGGTGGCAGCCCTTCTGAGGTCTGGTCCTGCTTTCAGAGCCTGAGCAGACAGCTCCTGGAGTCTCATTGGCTCTTGTTGGGTCACATGGCCATCCCTGGGGAAAATCATTGGTGCTGGAGGAATGCGATGCTCTGATTGGCCAGGGTTGAGTTGGGGCCCGGCATGGGGTCAGCCCTGCAGAAATCCTGGGGCCTGCCAAGTGGGGCAGGGGTGGGTCCCAAGTGAAAATACAGAACTGTTGTTAGCCCTGGAATGGACAAAGAGCCCGGCAGCGGAAACCCCCACCACTGGTTGTAGAAAACTTCCCTTTTCCTTTTGTCCACTTTCCTTTCCATTACATTTCCCCCCTTAAGTTCTGTCTGCAATATCTAAACTCTAGTGTCTTCCAGTGTGTAATATCTAGTATGTCTTCTGAAGAGAGTTCCTCATTTCTCCCAAGACTCCAGCTGTGTGTGTGTGTGTGTGTTGGTAAGGTATGGTAGATACTACCTACCACGTTTCTTCGAAGCTAACTGTAAAAGGCATTAGCTTTTTAACAGGAATCGGACTTGAATTTGAACCCTGTCCTTACCCCTTAGAGGCTGTGTGACCTCGAGAAGGTTGCTTAACCTCTCTGAGCTTCCCCTTTGAGAAATGGTATAACATATACTCGCAGAATTGTTTTAGGATTAGAGTGATGGTCTCAAACTTGAACATGCACCAGAATCCTCTGAAGAACTTGTGAAAACACAGATTCTGGGCCCCATCCCCTGAGTTTCCAATTCAGTAGTTCTGGGCTGGATTCTAAGAATTTACAATTTTTGAAGTTCGCAGGTAATACAGGGGAACTCCTCCTTTAGAAGACCTGATGGATTGAGGCCTCTCTGGCATGTCATGGGTACCAGACACACTTATTGTGAGGGCAAGTGGTGTTAGTATGTGCCATGGCTTTGGTGGCAGAGACCACTCCATGATTCATCATACAACCGTGTTGTCCTCGGGGAAATGACAGTTCCTGAATAGACTGACACAGCTTTCTGAGAACTTCCTTGTTATCCTTGTGGCTGGCAGGGGAGTGGCCGGGGTCACCTGCCCTGCCTGGGTGTAACGTTTCTCTTTCCTCTGCAGTACTCTGGCTTCCAGCAGTCTGCCGACAGGTGTTTTCTTTGTGGCCATCTGATCATGGACATGGTGAGTAGGGTCAGCCGAACGAGGTAAGAGCACAGGAGAGGGGGCGGCACTCGGAGAAGAAGGAAGTGAACCATGGAGAACAGTGTTTGCTAGCTGGACTTGCGGTTGCAGTTTTTTTGTTTTTCATTTATCTGTTTTATTAAAAGCAGACCCTGTGCAGTGCACCTGCTTGCTGTAGTAGAGCCCACACTGTCGGCTTGTGTTGCTACCACACCCGCAGCCATCCGGTCACACGGTGCGGTGTTTCCGACCCTCCTCTGCTCTGGGCTGCTCAGATCACGCTGGCCTCCCTCTGGTTTCTGTGATCCCCGCGGGGCCTAGCTGGGATGCCGAAGGGACCTGTTGTTAGGACAGAATTCTCAGCGACCTTGGAGTCAGGCGCAGAAAGTCAGATGAGCACTGTTCCCCGCTGCGTTCTGCCCGATTCAGTCTGTTTCTAGGATGAGTTTTTGAACCTTCGGAACAAGGTGCAGGTTTTATACATTCTGTTCCTTGCTGAGCTACTGGCTCTCTGGGCTTGTCGTGGGCCTCAGTATCTTTACCGCTTCAGTGGGGACAGTTTTTCCTTCCTGGTCTCCTTATAGGGTAAGGCTGTGGGCTTAAGGAATACTGAATTCTTACTCTGTCTCGGATTAGGCTGTGCACCCGTGGAGGTCAGCCCTGTAGAATTTCCTGGTTAGAGAACATGACTATGTAACATCTTTTTAGTTGGGAAGAGTTACATCCCCTCTTACGCTGATCCATTAATTCCTCTCTAGAGAAGGGACTTGCTGATTGTTGCTTTTATTTTTTTACATCTTTATTGAGAAAATGTAAAAACTCATGGAAGAAAGGGCACACACCTGAAGTGTACAGCTGAGTGAGCTTTTACGTTGGCAGGTACCCATGTAGGCACCGTGCAGATCAGCAGGTAGAGCGTACCCCACATTCCACACCCTAGAAGGTTCGCTCCCAGATGGGTGTTTCGGAGCAACCTGGCTGGTGTTGATTCCACAGCTCGTTGTTTGTGCTAAGTCTCATGGCCCAGGTATTTGCAGAAACGACCCTCCTATTGAGTCAGTGAAGATGCTTTTTCCATCGTACACTATAGAAAAACCCAGACTCATGTTAACTCACACCAGTGGTTCTCAAGCTTTTGCATGCTCAGAATCACTAACACCAAGGCCGTACCCCAGAGTCAGGGATTCAGGGGTTCTGGGGTGAGGCCCCAGAATCCGCATTTTCAGCCAGTGTCCAGGTGATGCTGATGCTGTGGGCCACGGGTTGTACTTGGAGAACCCTGACTAATAGGAAAAGCGTTTTTCTCACCCAACAAGGTCTGGAAGTGGGCAGTTCCACGGTGGGTGAAGTTGGTTACTTGCTGACGTCACCAAGAACGTTCTTTCTGGCTTTTCTCCCCTTGTGTCCCAGCTCCGTCCTGGTTTCAGGACGCCTCTCACAGTTCCAGGAAACGCATCCAGATCAGTGACAGAGAGGAAGACGGCCTGTGTGGGTTTCTCTTTGCTGTGTTTGTTTGTTTATTTGTATAAATATTTTCTTTATTTATTTTAGAGAGAGGAAGAGAGAGGGAGAGGTAGAAACATCAATGAGAGAGAACATCGATTGGCCGCCTCCTGCACGCCCCCCACTGGGGATCAGGCCCACAACCGGGCATGTGCCTTGACTGGGAATCGAACCGGCGACCTCTTGGTGCATGTGTCGATGCCCAACCACTGAGCCACACCGGCTGGGCCTCTCTTCACTGTGTTTAAAAACAACAACAAAGAGGCTTTGCTTGCACCTGGATTCGAGATAATCAGGGGCTGAGCTTATCATGCTGCAGGGTCAAAGCCGCTTAGAAGGAGCTAAGAGGATTGCTCCGAGCTCTGCACTCTCATAGATTTCTTTAACCTTCCCACACACCCCTGCTTCCCAAGTCCGGGCTGCATCCCTGCACGGCCCTGCTTTGCATCGTTTCCCGCAAAGCACCTTGGCGCTGTCATAGGGAGCCCTTTAAATCCCCTCCCGGAGCTTCTATGAATTCAGAAGGAGTGTGTTTGGCCTTCTCCTGTTTGTACACGTGACGTGACCTTGGTCCCAGGGAAACTCTGGGTGATGTGCCTCGGCGGTGTGATTGTTCACATGGTCCCTCTGCCCGATGTTCTCCCTTCTGCCATCCCTCCCGCCCCTGCTGAGTCCTGAACTCGTCCTTCACGTCCCCAGATCCTGCAGGCCCTGGGGAAGTCCTACCACCCCGGCTGCTTCCGCTGCGTCATCTGTAACGAGTGCCTGGATGGGGTGCCCTTCACGGTGGACTCGGAGAACAAGATCTACTGTGTCCGGGATTACCACAAGTAAGGAGGCTGGGAGCCGCGCGTGAAGCCGCATGGACATCAGCAGCATGACAGTCAGACGCTGGTCCCGTTAGCCCGCTGCCCACTCCCCAAAGGCTTCATGGCTTGAGGGGTGTAGCAGGGGCCTCACTAGGCAGCTCCGCGGATGTCTGTGCAGGCAGGAACGGAGTAAATAATTATGTTTACTGAAGAAAAAGAAAAACAGCTCAATCCACCAGGCCCTGTGGCTGCAGGTTTGCCTGACGTCAGAAGGCACCGACTCGGCTGGCCTCTGCCCTCGGGGTGCCTGGGCCTGTACCGGGCACCGCGAGGGGAGCAAGCAGCCTGTCGGTCTCTGCCCCGTGGAGTGAGGGGACTTGCTGCCGCTGGGGGGCCGTCGCGAAGCTTTACGGAAGCGAGTCCCGGAGCGTGAGCCAGGCCGTTTGTACGGCGCTGGAGGAGGCAGAGCCGGGCGTGAGGGAGGCCCCGGCAGGCCCGGGCGCAGGCCTCCCAGAAACTCGGCCTTGCCCCCCAGAAACACAACGTGCATCTCACTGCTCTTTGCTCTCCCCCCAGGGTGTTGGCCCCCAAGTGTGCAGCCTGTGGGCTTCCCATCCTCCCACCCGAGGTAAGATGCCCCTTCAGACCCAGGGCCTCACCGCAGGAATTTCTCCCCGGGGTCGTTGGCAGTGTCTGTCCTTAGTGGCCTCACCGAGGAGCCCCTTCCTCGTTGCTGGCTTCCCCGGCCCGCTGCTCGTGCCCCGTTCATCCCGGCGGTCAGGGCGAACTCTGACTTGCACGAACTCCTAGAGCAGGCGAGCCGGCGGGCAAGAGCACGTAGGTGTTGCAGTGTTGAGGTGGCACTCCTGTGCCCCACTTCCGCCCATAGGTCGGGGTGTCCTTTCCCCCCCATGGTAGTACCTTCTCCGAAGGCTGCCCGCGGGTTACTCAGAATCCCCCCCACACCCCCACCACATGTGGAGCCTGATGGGCCCTCCAACTGCTTCTTGTGCTCACTTTTCCTGGCCCAGGGCTCAGACGAGACCATTCGTGTCGTGTCCATGGACAGAGACTACCACGTGGAATGCTACCACTGCGAGGTAGGCCCCTCCCTGCCCAGACCCCAAACTGTTCAGCAGCCCAAGGAAAGGGGCCCAGCCGAGTGCGACAGCTGGTGGAGGGACTGGGGTAGAGCCTGGTCGGGGGGGTCGGGGGGAGGTTGGAGAGGGTGCAGATGTTTGGGGCATGAAGGTCTTTACTATTTTCTCCACGTGCGTAACTGCCAGGGCCCGAGGCCGCCCTGCCTGAAGCCGCAGGACGGGAGGGGCCTGGGCAGTGTGGTTTCAGGTCCTGTTCGGGGGCACGTGGTCAGTCAGGGTGCGACGTGGGGGATAGACTTCCTCCCCTCCAGCTGGTAGGCTGTTCTCTCCGCCAGGAGCCTCTTTCTCGGCTGAGCCTGGAAATCAGGACGAAATCTCGCCCCACCCCCACTGCCCTGGAAACAGGGATGTGGCTGGTCGGTGTGAAGGTGGGTGGGCGCCATCTGCCCCCCTCTGTCCTTGTCCCCTCCCCAGCCTGAAGGAGCCACAGGACTGTAGGCCAGCCACGGGTCACCCCCGCCAGGCTTGTGAAGGGTGCACACGGTCAAAGCCTGTGACCTTTCAACCAGAGTTAAGTGGGAGCAGAGGAGACGTATTTTGTGATGTGGCGGTTGGAGAACAGGGGTTGTGGGGGACAGACAGCTCGATCCCCAGGCAGTGCTGGAGACACAGGTGGGAAATGCCGTCCCCTCCACACATCCCAGACCAGCGCCGTCCAGTGGGAACGCGAGAGTCACAAATTCAGGTCCTGTGTGTCCTTTTGTGTTCCAGTAGCCACATTAAAAAAGTACAAGAAACAGGTGGGATCAGTTTTTGTGATAAAATTTTATTCAACCCATTCTTTCCAGAATGTTATCATTTCAACATGTAGTCACTATAAAACATTTTACATGAGCTATTTTATATCCTTTTCGCCCCCCTAAATCTTGGCAATCTGTCGTGCTCACACTAATGTCGCATCCCATTGCTTCACGGCTCGGTGGTGACGTGCAGCCGTGGCCCGGGTGCGGGACGTGCCGCAGACCTTCCCTGGGACAGGGCGCTCGGCGTGTCCCAGCTCTAGGGCACCACACGCTGGCTTCAGGGACGGTGGCTTTGTGTCAGTCTTGCAGTCGTTTTGTTTGGCTGCCACTGGACCCTTTGCCTCTCCAGGACTGTGGTCTGGAGCTCAACGACGAAGACGGCCACCGCTGCTACCCGCTGGAGGACCGCCTGTTCTGTCAGCCCTGCCATGTCAAGAGGCTGGAGAAGGGCGCCCCGCCCGCGGCCCCCCACCAGCTCCACTTCTAGCCAGAGCCTCTCACCGACCTTGGGGCGGGGCCAGGGGCCAGGGGTGCGCACTGACAAATCCGCCGGTTGACTCCAGTGGCCCCTGGGGTCGAGTTGGGGCGGGGAAGGAGGGCATGGCCTGGGGTGCCGGTGTGCGTGCATGGGGCCCTTCTCACCAGCAAGGTCTGCCCTCCCGTCTCGTGTGTGTGTATTTTCAAGGGCCTTTCCCTGCTGGCCTGCGCTCATCAGATTACTCAGGAAGACGCTCCAGCAAGCGTGTGGCATGTGACAGATCACAGCAGTGCATGAGTGAACCCGCCGGTCCCCTCTGGGAACGTTCCCTTCAGAGGGAAAGGTTTGCACTGAGCGCATTTCATAACATCCTCGGGAGAAGCTGTCAGCTGTCAGCCCGGTCAACCCTTCCCTCCCTTCAGGAAAATACACACACCGGCCCCCCACGCCATGATCGAAGGTTCCCTCCTCCCCGAGGCGCGGTCTTCTGTGGGAGGGCTGCAGGCTTACATGGGTATGGCGAGAGGGCAGCCCCGACCTGTGCCCCGCATCTTAGGGGCCCTTCCTTGGTAAGCCAGAGCCAGGTGTGGAGATAAGCGCACGGGGTGTCCTGCGCCCTGACAGCGTGCTGCGTGTCCCCGCACCCCGTGGGCTGGCGGAGATCTGCCCGGTCCAGCAGAGTGCTCCGGGGCAAAGAGCGTGGTGCCGGCACCAGGCCTCTCTGCCCACCTGTTTGCCCCTTTCCCCTCTGGCGCTCCCCAGAGTCTGTGACTTTGGTGTGGCTTCCGCAACGGCACGCTCAGGACCCCGTGCGGACATCTGTGCCTGCGGCTTCTGTGTCCTGAGAGCCGCCCCGTGGAGGAGGGTGTGTGAGGGCGGGCACGGAGCCAGCGCGGAGGGCACGCCTGGGGATAAGTTATTGGTCCCTACACGGGTCTCTCTCGCCCATTCTTGGCACAGGCGTTCTGTGTGAAGAAACCAGGATAAGGTACAATGCTTTTGTCCGTGTTTTCTTTTTCTGTTTTAAATTGTTTCCCTCCACTTTCGGTCTTCCACACACACAAAAATACCTCACAGATGAGAGCTTCACCAAATGACAGGTAAAGAGGAAGTGGGCCATCACCGTGGGCTCTGGTGGGTTAGGGACATCTGGCTTCATGCAGGCCAGACTGCAGTGGTCAGGGCAGTGTGACCCTAACCAAAGGTCAGCAGGGCACACAGCAGATGGAAAGTGGGTGCTGCTGTCTACTCACAGCACCATGCCAGCTCCCGGGCTGGCACGGGCTCAGAGGGCCACACCCCGGCAGGATTTCAAGGCAGCCTCTGCACTGAAGGGGCGGAATTTGCCCTGCCAGTCCCAGTCCTGAGGCTGGAGGTCAAGATCCGTTGGTATTTCAGTAAGGAGATATGTACGTACATATCCGTAAAAGGTTGGCTGGCACTTTCCCTCTTGCCTGTGCTGAGGGCCCGTGGCCTTGTCGCAGGAGCGCTGGGCCCTCTCGTGGCAGCTGGCATCTGTTCTCCGCCTCCTCACCTGGTACCCGAGCCAGGGACTAGCTGACGAGCCGTGGGGACGGTCAGCGGAGCCCTCCTGGGACTCAGCTCCCCGGGCCCAGCTGCCCTCTAGGCCATGTTTTGACTCATTCAGTAGCAGTTGCCTATAAGAAACACAAATTGGTACCATTGATTGTTTCACATTTTTATTCAGTTTATTCTGCTGGGATCCTTTGGCCAGATGTCACTTCAGCCCAGGCTGCGTGCTTTCGTTGGTGCAGTCTTCACGGGCTGAGCCTCCTGAGAACCCGTGAACGTGCCCCTCTCTGCCCATCGGGTCCCCAGCTCAGCCCGGGCCAGGCTGTGGGCAGCTGCCACGCCTCAGCCCGTCCTTGCCAGCCAGGGATGTTCCTGCCTCGCAGGCCCCCTTGCCCACTTTCAAGTCCAGCAGAGTGGGCGCCACCGTCAGAGGCAGGGGCGTTTGGTTGCAAATTAGGTGACTAGTTAGTTCAATCTGATAAAGTTTTAATGAAATTTTTAAAATAGCCTTGATTGGGGTGGTTCCGATCTCACTGCAGATACGGCATTTCATGTCCCCGAAGAGCAGCGAGAGACTTCCAGGCAAAAGCTGAGCCGCAGCTCCTCTGATCAGCGTCCCTGGGGAGGTGCCTGGTAGGACTCGATTTTCTCTCCTGCAGGAAGAGGTGTTCGCCCACCTGGTTATCGTAAACATTCTGTAGGTTATTGGCAAATGGAACTGTAATGGAGTTGTACTTACGGGCACCCAGAAAGTAAACAGGCACCCGGGAGACCAGGATGAGTAAGTTTGTTGTAAAAAGTAGAGCAGAAATCCCACCCGAGCTTCCTAGACAACAACTGGACTTGAACTAGACAAGGAGAGGAGAACTACGGCCCGATTCCAGACCCACAACCAGCCTGCAGCCTTCTCCCTCGCCTCACTGTGCCCTTTGGTTTTCTTGCTGCCCGCCGCCCCCCAGCCCTCGGGTCAGGCCATTCAGAAACGGGGTGGTCCGAGGGAGGCCGGTAACCCAGGTTGACCGGCTGTATCAGGACACTGTCTCTGCCTCTGATGTCTCCCCGCCTGTCCCTGGGTAGAGTGATGTGTTCATCTCTCACCACGAGGACGTTTGGTTGTCCCCGTCACTGCCTGTGCCCAGCTGGCACAGGACTGCATTGCTCCGTGGGTAGTGCGGGAGTGGAAACCTTTCCGCTGAGTCAGGAGGTTATGCCCTTGAGTCCTGGGCGGCTGCAGGGATTGTCACAGAGTTCTGATCACCTTCAGGGCTGCCCCCACCTGGTTCCCACGGGCGAGTCACTGCTGAAAGGGAAAGCAAGTGTTGGGACTTGCGAGAACGCTCTGGCATCCACAGTTCTTTGCAGGCTGTGTGTGTGTGTGTGTGCCATTTCCCACGGGCGACAGTGGGAGCTGTGGTGGCTGCTGTACGCTTGCAAAAAATGTGTGCGACACCTGACCCCAAACGTTGGTTGCTGTGCTTGTTAATAAAACCGTGTCTGCCAGGAAACCAGATTCTTTATGCCACAAGTAGTCCTGATTTCCCAGTTACTATCTGAGGTAACTCTTAAAAGGAATAGAAAAAAGAGTAAAAGGGTTAGCTATGTATTGTTCGGAGCCAGAACTGGACAGATGTGGGGAATTTCCATAGAGTGCGTGACGATTTCACCTGTACAGGGAAAACCGTTTTACTCTGTGTCTCTTCTTTTACTATAAAATGATTCAAAAATTTATTGTCATGATATCATGCAAAATATTACTATAAAATTATTTGAAATTTTACTGTTTCTATAAAATGATTCAAAATATGAAAATAAAACTGCATCGATTTGTAGACTATTAAAGTGCTCTCTGACATGACGATGTTTATGGGTCTTCTTTTGTGTGTGTGTGAAGACATGATGCTTTCTATTAAGTGGATTTGGTCTCCTTTTAGAGCTCTGGGTTCTAACCTATGGGTGTCAGAACAGGAGAGGGACTGAGATGTTGCTCTATAGTTATTCGCCTGTTTCCTTTCAATCAATGATGGATTGCATAAGAAGGTGGTCCCATAGATATTGGAGCTGAAACATTTCTGTCACCTAGTGATGTAGCCGTCAGTGTTGTAGTGCAGTGTACTAGTCACATCGTGGTGACGCTGGTGTAAACAAATCTGCAGCGCCAGTCCTAGGAAAGAATAGCACATGCAATTATGTACAGTGCGCAATTCTTGATAATGATGATAAATGACTGATCTATACCTTTTATTGTTCTTTTAGAGTTTATTCTTTTCTGCTTATAAAAAGTGTTTGCTGTGAACAGTGTGCCATGCTACACCGGCAGCAGCGTCATACATCTCATGTTGACTGTCTCTGATGGCACTTAATCTCGCGTTGTTCTGTGCAGTAGGCTTGTAGCCCAGGAGCAATGGGCTAGACCACACAGCTGAGGTGTAGGCTACACTACCTAGCTTAGTGTAAGTGCACTCAGTGTTCGCACCACGAAATCGCCTAACCGCATTTCTCAGAACATGTCCTCGTTAAGTGGCGCATGACTGTACTTACGAGCTAATGAGGTGGCATGCCATGTCTCCTGGATCCTGGCAGGCGGTGCGAGGCTCCCAGCTCACAGACAGAGGGCGTTGGAATGCTCAGCAACAGCAGTAGCATTTCACTCGATCAGCATTTGCACGTTTCCTGAGCCTGAATGCCTGCCTACCTGCGCATGCAGTGGGCTGTGTTCCTGGAGGAAGCCGGAGCTCGGGGAGCCTCCGCCTTTTATAAAGCCTGGCTTTGCTCCGGGCAGGGACACTACCTGTACCGCCTAAGATGGTTCACTACACCACATCCTTGTAAAAGCAGCGTGGACTTGGGCAGTCGTGCCGAGATCACAAAATGTGTAGGGATGTGAGAGACCCTTGGGGAATCGTCTAAGACTCGGCAGTTTGGGGGGGAAGGGAGGGACACACCCAATTTGGAGGCTTGGCGGGAAGGCAGACCCCACAGCAGACAGAATGGATCAAAGTTGATATGCGGGAGCTGTGCTTGGGAGCCACGCTCAGCTGTAGAACGGACGTGAAGGGGGCTGCAGAGTTCATTCGGATGGTGCTAACAAGCTTCTTCGGCAGCTCGGGTTGTTTTCATGGAAAGCCCCTTGGCAGATTTTGTTTAAAAAAAAAAAAAAACTATATAGGTAATGTAATTTCACTCTAGGAAAAACTTGGCTAAAGATGTCAATTTTTATTACTTATCCTTGGCTGGTTTCTTCTTTTTCTTTTTGATCCTCACCCAAGGATATTTTTCCACTTATTATCAGATAGAGAAAGGGAGGGAGAGCCACATGGACTGGCTGCCTCCCGCAGGACCTGACCAGGGCTGGGGACGAACCACAACCGAGGTTCGTGCCCTCGACCAGAATCGAATGCACAACTCACGAGTCCGCTGGCCGATGCTCTAACCGCTGAGCCAAACCGGCCAGGGCCCTGGGCGGGTTTCTTATCCTGAACATTGCTTTCCTAAGAATCCGATTTGGGCTTGTTTGGCATTTAAACATGCCCAAAAGGAATGCCTGTTTGGGGGTGAATTAGTTGCCATTTTTCAGCCTCACTGAATGCTCACAAAGGCCTTGGTTGTATTACACAGTTGGCAAAGAAAGGTCAACCTTTGTGTCTCAGTTTTGTGGTGACAGAACTTCTACGTGGTGAATGTTCAGGGAGTCCAGGCAGGAGCGCTCTGCCTGGCAGAGGGCTCAGCTGAACGCACTTTTCATAGAGCCTTAGGGATGGGGTGCAGCTTAAATCCCCATCTTAGTAAAGGAGAGGGTATGGCCCAGAGCCCCCAGCTGGTGAGTAGAAGCATCAACAGGACTAGAGATGAGGTCTTCTGACTGCTAATTAGCAGACAGGAAAGACAGGAGCATATGGGATCACCACTGGTGTCCCGATTGAGAATCGCCCAGTGTCCACTCCTGGGGTCACCCTCTGGCGCATAGCAAGCCCACTGGCAGAATGGCTTTGGGGTTGAGCCCAGATTCAAGGTCTGACTCAGGCTCCACCACCTAATTGCTCAATGACCTTAAGCAAATTTAGTTCCTTGACATTTAAAAATGGGGATAACAATGGGATTTACCTTAGGGAATTGTGGTAGGATTGAATTAGTCAAGTAAAGAGGTTAGAGCTCTTAATTGCTCAATAAGAAAGACAGACTTTAAGATTTCATTGATTTTTCCATTGCAATGACCAACAAAATAAATTACAAATGGAGTTAAAGTAAATGGAATGCCCAGCAGGAGTGGCTCAGCTGGTTGAGCATCGTCCTGTGCACTGAAGAGTTGCCAGTTTGATTCCCAGTCAGGACACATGCCTGGTTTCAGGTTCCGTTCCAGTTGGGGCATGTACAGAGGGTAGCCCATCGATGTTTCTCTCACATTAATGTTTCTGTCTCTCTAAGGATGTCTTTGGGTGAGGATTGAAAAGAAAAAAAAAGTAAATGGAAAAAAAATAATATAAACATAAAATAATTTGAAAAGAGTACTTATGCAATGGAAGAAACCATAAAGTAAAATATTGGTACACTGGAATATATGAAAGTGAAAATTACTCTAAGTGCAAAAATATTATAAGGAAAAGGGAAACAATAAATTGGAAAAAGATTGCAATATCTTTGATGGCTAAAGAATTCATATCCTTTATATATCAAAGAGTCTAACAGATCTGCAAGAAAACACTGAATGCATATGTCAAGAAAAAATATATACATCAAGTAAAAGGAAATTCTGTTTTTCACTTATGAAAATTGGTAAGAAATAATAATGAAATTTATAATACACAGTGCTGGTTAGAATGCAGGGAAGCAGATGTTATTGATGGAAGTATTTATTGGTTCATTTTTTTGGAGGGCAATTTGAAAATATATACCAAGGGGTAAAAATGTCCATAAAATGGACCTTAAAAATGTCCACCTGATCATTTCACATCTAGAAATTTATAAGACATATCAAATAATTCAACACAGATTTATTTTCTTTAAAGTGTCAAACTGACAACCCAAATTCCCAACAAATGAGTAATGCTTAAAATATCTTAGTTCCCTAGTGATATCTTTAAAAAATACTTAATGACCTTAAATCTCAGGCAAAAAACTAAGGAGACAAAAAGGAAACACAAAGACATTTCTGGTATAAACTCAAATTTGGAAAAAATACACGTGTGGGTAGATACATATTGAAAGTATGAAAGAAAAATAAAAAGCCTCTAGGGAAAAAGTTATGACGTTAATAGTAATCTCGAGATGAGAATTGGCATTATTATTTTTTGTTGTTAATCTTCGCCAGAGGATAGGTTTCCTTGTATTTTTTTAATCCTCATCTGAGGACATTTTGCCTTTTTTTTTTTTTGTTCAGACAGAGTGGGAGGTCGAGAGAGGAAGAGAGAGAAACATCGACGTGAAAGGGACACATCGAGTGGCTGCCACCCGCACGACCAACCAGGGCCAGGGACAAACTGCAACCGAGGTACATGCCCTTAGCAGGAACCGAACCGGTTCTGGACCGCAGGTCGGGGCTCTAACTGCTGAGCCAAATCAACCAGGGCACCATTGTTGTTGTTTTTAATTTTTTCTTTATTGATTTGAGAGAGAGAGAGAGAGAGAAACATCAATGAGAGAACATCATTGGCAGCCTCCTGCATGCCCCCCACTGGGGACTTGGCCCACAACCTGGGCATGTGCCCTGACCGGGAATTGAACCGGTGACCTCTTGGTGCAGGGGTCTACGCTCAAACACTGAGCCACACTGGCCGGGCTCCATTGGTTTTTTATTTAGAGTGGGAGGGAGGGAGGGAGGGAGGGAGAGAGACGTGGATTTGGAAGAGGCACATTCATTGGTTGCCTTCCCTACACTCCAGCCCAGGGCCTGGGATCAAACCTGCAACCCAAGTACATGCAGGCCCTGGACTGGGAATCGAACAGGAGACCCTTCCGTTCCCCGCCCGACGCTCTAACTGCTGAGCCAAACCAGCCAAGGCGGCATCATTTTTTATTCCCAACAATTTTCTGTAATTTCTACATTTTCTATATTTCCTTAGGAGGAAAACACGTTATATTGGAAAGATTTATCGATCGACGAGTGACTCCCTAATGGGCAGTGCTTCCCCGGATTCGAGTCCCCTCGTCGCCGCAGACGTCTCGGGTCCTCCCAAGTCTTCGAGCCAGGCATCTATAAAACGGGGGGCTCCATTTACAGGTCTTCTAACTGTAAAAACACCCCTACTTAAGGTTTCCCGACACGAGGGGCCAGGTTGCTTTGGGACCCGGGATCTCTACGGCCAGGGCTGCACACTCAGGCACCGCGGAGCAGCTCCGACGCGCGCAGCCGCACTGCAGCGGTTCCGCTCCAAAGCGGGCCGGAGCCGGAGCCCACCCCACCCCGGGGGCTGACCTTCGCCTCGGGGGCTTCTCCTCCGCGGGGAGAAGCCAGAACTGCTGCCCTCGGTGGGCCTCTGTGCCCTCCGGTAGCTGACCTCGGGCCACAGCACGCTCCTCTCCCACCCCTCCCCACCCCAAACTGCTACCTTCTAGGGGTGTTTTTCTAAATGTGCCCCATTTTACAAAGACTCTGTAAGTGAACCATTAATAGGGCGCTTTGCAATTTACAAAACATCTCGCACAACCTCGGGTTCCAAATACTGCTTAAAAGATGACACCGCGGGCAAAGTAGTGCTAAAATTCAAGGCATTTAGAGTCTTTACACTTTGGTTACGGTCCTTCCCAAGGGGGCCCCGGAACCAGGCAAAAGGTGCACCCCGAGCCAGCCAGGAGTCGAACCTAGAATCTTCTGATCCGTAGTCAGACGCGTTATCCATTGCGCCACTGGCCCGGCACTTGCTGGCTCCCCTACAATGTAGACTACCTCTTACGCAGTTGCAACAGGCTCCCCGACACAGGCACTGCATTTCCGCCGCGGCGCTCGCCCACGTCCCCTCAGGCGCCTCCCGTCCTGCAAAGGCGCCCGCCAATCCGCAGCGGCGACGTCATCGCACTCCCGCCCACTCCGCAGGGCAGCGCCTCGGGCGTGCTCTAGCGTGCGCACTAATTTTGTCCACGGCCGCCTCCCGTTCGTTCGCCGGCCTGGCGGGGCGTGGAAAGGGGTGGGACCATGCTGGGCACTGCGGCCGCCGTGCCAGGGTGACCGGTAGCGCCGTAGCCGAGGTGGCGACGCGGGGCGGGGCGGGCGGAAAGAGGAGGAAGGAGGTGGTGCTGCGGGATGGCGGCGACAACCTACGAGCTGCTGAAGCTGTGAGTCCCACGGGCGCGAGGCCCTTGACCGAGAGGGGCGGCGGGCGGGGCGGCAGGTGCGGGGCGCTGGCCCCGGGGACGGCTCCTGAGTCCCTGGGCGGCGGGCCGCTGTGGGAGCCCCTTGCATTCTTCGCCTTGCTCGCCCGGCGCGGCCGCCCAAGGCTCCGCCCGAGTCTCCATAGGCCTGGGAGCGACCGTCTCGCCAGCCTCTCTCGGTCCCGCCCTGGGCCTCTGCTCCTGGGGCGGGAGAGCGAGGCTGCAGGCTGGCTTCCAGCAAGCCGGGTCGGCGTTGGGATGCAGCCCTTCATGTCCCTCCCCACTTCTTTCTTTTTTAAGAAGTGGCGTCTAAATTTGTCCTTATTACTCAGCAGAGCAATTTTTTTTTTTTTTAATTTAATGGACCGGTAGCAGCACGTTGGAGTCCGTACACAAATCGACAAACCTTTGGGCATCGAAGCCTGCCTGACCAGTCTAGGATGCAGGAAACAAGACCAAACCCCACAACGTAAAGTACAGTCAGTACTCTTAAGGTCCTGAAAGATTTACTTGGTTTTAAATAATAAAATAGTATACAGCTCAAGCATAACGCAGGTTCTTAAGTCCACGTTGACAGCTAGAGGCTCATCTGGGGAAATTTGGCACTGCAGGTCGACTTCTCAAAGCCACCTTCTTGGGGCCTTGAGAAACAGCTCTGGTGGTTAGAGTTGTAAATGAGGTATTTGTCAGGTTTTTGGCTTGTCCTGGATAAATAAAAACATGTATTTCCCTTAGCATTACCCTCTGGCCCCTACACCCTTCTTGTCTGTGAATAACTTTGTTCTACTCACTTTGTGTTTAATGCTTTAGCTCTAGACAGAAAATCCAGTGGCTGCAGTCTAGAATGTCTTTGCAGCAGAAGCAGATGTCGTCTTTGAGGGGCTTTTCCATCTCTACATAAATTAAAATGTCTTGGTGCTTAGGCATAGGCATAGGTATCTCATTTTCTTTGCAGGGGTAGGAAGACATCAAAATGTGGTTTGGGCATTTTCTGTGCTCCCCAGAACCTCAGGCTCACTTAACTTTTCTCCAGAACTGGGAGTGAGGTCATTTCAACATCAGATATTTTGGAGGAAGATGATTACTTTTCTCGCAGCCCACTCCGTTTGCCGCTCCTGCTTACTGTAACTCTCTTTGAAAACCCCAGCTGCACACTTTCCTCCAGATTGTCCTGGCCAAGTTTCCTTACTCTTTCCCAATTCCCCTTGGCAAGGTGATTACCGTGGTGAATGAATCCAGCAGTGTCTTTGACCAAGGTACTGGCCAGAACAGTGTCACATGTGCTCTGCTGGCTAATTAGGTTATTGCTGCCTATCTGATAGTTACCAAAGGGTTTAATATGATCCTACGCCAGGTCTCAAATGTGTTAAGCAATATGGAGCCTCGGCTTGGTGCAGGTCAGAGTTAGGTTACGGAATGTGGCTGAATTTTCATGTGGTAAAGATTGAATGGGATGGAGAACTTGAGCTGCCAAGGAGGCACTAAATTCACCAGTCCAAACTAAAAAAAAAACAACAAAAAAAACTCTGCATCCACAAGAGAACGGAAATTTGGCCCTTAAATGATGAGGCTGATGCTTGTGTATTGGTTTTTGTGGGAAGTAGAAACTATATATTTGGGTGAAAAGTAAATCTGGGGTTATGTGAAAGTCATCTTCTAATTTGTCAGTCCTTAGCTCCCCCCCCCACCCCCCGCCCCCCGACAAAAAGTTTTGAGTGCTTCTGTAAATGTAAAAGTACAACCTTTTTGCAACTTTGTTTTTCTTTATCAAGGAGTTTGTGTGTTGAAATCTCCCCTTTCTCTGTCTTTTTGGCCCTTTCTGCTGTGAGGCGTGCTGGTCAAGGTTTTTATTTCATTTTATTTATTTATTTTTATCCTCACCTGAGGACAGTTTTGCATTTATCTTTAGATAGAGAGGGGGGAAGAGAGAGTAAGAAACATGGATGTGAGAGAGACACATCAACTGGTTACCACCCACATGACCCCAACCAGGGCCGGGGACAGGCTGCAACTGAGGTGCATGCCCCTAGGGGGAACCGAACCCGGGACTCTCTGGTCCTCAGGCCGATGCTCTAACAGCTAAGCCAAACTGGCCAGGGCTGTCCCGAGATTTTTTTTAAAACATGTTTTTATTGATTTTACAGAGAGGGAAGGGAGAGGGAGAGAGAGAAACATCGATTGGCTACTTCCTGCATGCTGCCTACTGGGGATTGATTGAGCAGGCAACCCAGGCATGTGCTCTGACAAGGCATCCAACCCTTTGGTACATGGGACGATACCCAACCAACTGAGCCACACCAGCTAGGGCTCAAGATGTGTTTTAAGAAAGATGTGTATACCCTGGCCAGTTTTGCTCAGTGGTTAGAGCGTTGGTCCGCAGACCAATGAGTCATGGGTTCGATTCTGGTCAAGGGGTCAAGGACACGTACCTTGGTTGCAGTTTGCTCCCGGCCCTGGTCGGGGTCGTGCGGGAGGCAACCAATAGATGTGTCCCTTTCACGTGGATGTTTCTCTCTCCCTACCTCCCACTCTATCTGAAGATAAATAGAAAAATATCCTCAGGTGAGGACTAAAAAAAAAAGAAAGAAAGTTGCATACAGCCCTGGCCAGTTTTGCTCAGTGGTTAGAGCATCGACCTGCAGGCCAAAGAGTTGCAGGTTCAAGCCTCAGTTGGTGTTGTATGGGAGCAACCAGCAGATGTGTCTCTCTCACATCAATGTTTCTCTTTCTCTCCCTCCCTCCCTTCCATGCTATCTGAAAATCAGTGGGAAAATATCCTCAGATGAGAGTTAACACCAAAAAAAAAGATGCGTACAAGAGATAGTTTGAGAATATTTCATTACAAAAGTATTGCTACTGGGTTTATTAAATATTGAAGTGCTTGGGTTTTAAATAATAATTTGTTCTGCATTATGTCATACATTTTCTCAAGTCCAACTCTGTCCTGCTATGAAGTTTACTTTCCTAAGTGCTCTGGTTTCACCCTCTACTCCCCTGCTTACAATCTCCAGTTCCATTTTACGGATCTATAGGATTAAGTCCCCATTTCTTAGCCATCGGTACTTTTAGCCTCTTCACAATCTCTGCCCTAACTTTATTTCGTATGACTGCCCAACCACCCCCACCCCCCTCAGACTTGGCAGTTTTCTTTTAGCTTCAACCTTGGGCTTATTTTGATCCTTCTACCCAGATGCCTTCTTCCTCTCTCCCCTCTTTACCTACTGATCATGATAGAGCTGAGAGATCGCAGGTTTTTTTAGTCAAAGCAGACTTAGATTCAGATCCTGACCTTGCTACGTGCTTTGTGCCCTGGCCATGTTACTTATTTCTAAAACGGTTTTTCATCCATGAAATAAGAACATTACTTCACAGGATCATTATAAGGGTTGAAAGAGAGCATGGGTGAAATACCAGAGTACTTAACAGGTGCTCACTTTTTCTGAGAAGCCTTTTTCCCACGTCATTCTCTTCAATGAGCTGCCAGACTACGGTCACAGGGACCAGACACTAAGCATCTATGTGGTTTGTACATTCTCTCTTAGGGTTGATGAACAGTGCATTTCCTGTCTCATGGACAACAGGACTGAGAGTCACAGTGATCAGCCCACAGCACTGTTTGCACCACTCACTCCACTACCGAGCAATGATGAAATCATACACACTGTGTTTCTCCAGCTAGGTTGCAAATAATGCGGAACGTGTTAGAAACACCTTAAACTTGATTTCTTCTCTATTCCCTCAGTACCTAGTATAAAACTCTGCAGAACAGATCCTCAGTGAATCACCTGAGTAAATGAAAAGAACTTTCTAGTGTAGAACACCTACGAGCACTTCAAAAATTGAATGGTCTGGAGTAATTTGGAATGTAGTCTTTTGAAGTTGTAGCCACTTAAGTAATTTCATCTATATTGTATTTTCGATGGCTCTGTGAGGTCATCAGTTGGTCTATATGCTCCATCGTTACTAAAGACAGGGAAATTATTGGCCCACAGTCAGGTTACACAGCCCAGCCATGGTAGAGCTGGTCTTGGAATAGAAGGTTCAGAGTCCAGTGATCTTTCCATTACACTGCATTATTCAAATGACCTTTTCATCTCTTATCAAATTGCTCTTGTCTTAGTCCTCAGACATGTCTGATATAGAAATAAATCACCTATAATTGAAAATAGTTGACAGGTCCATATGGATTTTTAATATAGAAAACAATATTGATTTGTTCAGAATTTAAAATTCATGCTTTTTAAACATTCAGGCAGTTCTAAATATTTTATGACTCCTTTTTCCTTTTAAGTCATTTGTGTATGCATGGATCATGTCAGACATTGATAAATTTGAAATTACAAAATATTTACAATAAATCTATTATTGGAAACATTCAAAGCGTTTAAAAAAATTCTTTTAAAAGGTCAGCTGAAATAGGTGTAAGGCAAGGAATCCTTTAGAAAATGAATCAGGCAGGCTACAGTTTACCTTTGAAGAAACATTGTTTTCTCCCTTAAGAAGTTGCCTTTTTTCTTAAAAGATTGTCATACCTGTGAGGTCAGTCATGGCAGATATGGTGCAACCCTGAGAACAGATGTAAATTAAGCTACACTGTGACGAAGACATAATGTGATCTATCTAGTACAATGAATGTTCAGATTATTCACAGTCTCTCTGCAAGGAAGGATGAAGGGAAGCTAAGTTTAGGCACAGATGATAAGAAGTTTGTATCCAAGGCATTGGTTGGGCAGGGGTTCAGGCTAGAAAGTCTAGGTTAGTGCTAGGCTGCATTAGATCACTTGCTATGCTTGCTTTAAATGCATATTCCAGAACGCCACATTAGGCCTCCTGAGGTCTAGCAACCTGCTAGTTCAGCCAGCTGTCCTGGTAGTTCCTAGGCTCTCTAAAGGCATTTTTAGGGCGAGGTTGAGCTGAGTAAGGACTGGGACATGCTGATAAAAGAGCATTCTTTGGAGGGCCTGGGGGTCTGGAAGATTTTGTTGTAGGTTAGAGCTTCATATTAGGTGGCATTTAGATCTGATTTTTATGGAGGAGACTGGTTTTTGGAGAGAATGGCTTTTAGGATGGACAGAGAATAGGAAGTAAATGGGACCTCAAGATCTTGAGGAAGAAGATGGAATGAAAATGAATTGGCTTGTCTAGCTGGTGGGGCTCAGTGGTTGAGCATCAACCCATGCACCAAGAGGTCTCTGATTCAATTCTCAGTCAGGACACATGCCCAGGTTGTAGGCCCAATCCCCAGGGGGGCATGTTGGAGGCGGCCAGTTGATGTTCTCCCTCATTGATGTTTCTCTCTCTCTCTCTCTCCCTTCTTCTCTAAAATCAATAAAGGAAAAATAAATAAATAAATAAATAAATAAAATGAATTGGCTTCCTAGAACTATCAGTCTAGGTTTGGGGTTTGGGTTGGGCTCCTGAGTTGTCTGGGATGAACCTGGGCTATAGGAGAGTTGTCCAAGAAGTCACTCAACGAGGGAGGCACTGCTGGGACCCAAAGGGAGGAAGGATGAGGGGTGGTGGGAGCACCTTCTGGGTATGAGTGTAGTAGATTCACAGGACCCTCCTTTACCATCTGAGTTTTCACTGTTTGCTTGCTAATCTAGTAAAATGTTATGCTTGTATGTTTTCAGCTAGAGATATGGTAAATTTGATCGTTAAGACTGATTTAATTCTTTATGTAATATTTTTGAGGAAATATGTTCTTGCTACAATTTTGTGACATGACAATCATCGCATTTCTATACAAATAGTAATTTTATTGTTATTTTAAATTATGGTAAAATACACGAATCATAACATTTACCACCAGCCATTAAGGTGCGTTCACATTGTTGTTACCACCAGCCATTAAGGTGCATTCACATTGTTGTTACCATCAGCCATTAAGGTGCGTTCACATTGTTGTTACCATCAGCCATTAAGGTGCGTTCACATTGTTGTGCACCCATCACCACCATTCGTCTTTTCATCTCGCAAACCCAAAACTCTGTACCTCTTAAACAACACCCCAGTCTCCCTCCCCCAGCCCCTGGCATTCACCATTCTACTTTCTGTTTCTATGAATTTGACTACTTTACATACCTCATATAAGTGGAATCGTACAGGATTTGTCCTTTTGTGACTGGCTTATTTCACGTAGCATAATACCTTCGAAGCGCGTCCATGTTACAGCATGTGTCAGATTTCCTTTATAAGACAACAATATTTTATTTTATGTATGTACTACATTTTGTACATACAAAATATAAATGACATCTGGTGTTTATATTATAATTAAATATATAGCCTTTCTTAAGATTTAGCAAGAGTAATTTTGTAAGGCACTCTTAAAAACTATTGAATCCCAGGTGGCTATAACATTAAGTGCATTTATATTAAATATCATAGTGAGAATTGCCTTTATTGAATTGAATTTTCAATTTCTGTGATTTCTTTTTCTTTTTGTCCCATACTTGGGCAGTAATCCATAAATGGAAAATAGTCAGCCAATGAAAGTTGTCAATAGGAAGTAATTGTTATTTTTTTCTGTCTCCCAAAATGTGTGTCATCGTAAGAGAAACCAGAACTCTGGGTTGGTATTGAATGCCCTGTCTTGAAGGAGAAAGTGTATTCTTATTCCATTAGAGATGTATTACTTTGAGCTTTAAAGATTTGTCATCAACAGTATAGTTAAAGAACAAATTATGTTCTTTGAAGGGTTCTCCTTGTCTTAACTTCAAAAATCTATTTCATAAAATAAGTAATGTGAGAGAGTTTAACGGAAATGAGAGACATCACAGCAGTTGAGGGCCATTCTTTTTGCAGTAGGGAGAGGATTTTCTCCTAGATTTTTGATTATCATTGAGTATTTTGGCTTGGTTTCCATTTATTTATTACATTGAGAACTCAGTATGGCCTGTTGACTGGTTAATTTTGAAAAACTTCTGGCAAACTTGGTTTCAGTGACATACTACAGACTCTTTTTTTTGTTAATCCTCACCAGAGGATATTTTTTCATTGATTTTTTTTTTTTTAAGATAGAATGGAAGAGAGGGAGGGAGAGAGAGAAGCATCGATGTGAGAGAGACACATCGATTGGTTGCCTCCCACACACACAACCCTGACTGAGGCTAGGGATTGAACCTGCAACCATGATATGTGCCCTTGACCAGGAACCGAACCTGTGAGTCAGTCCACGGGCTGACTCACTAACCACTGAGCCAAGCTGGCCAGGGCATATTGTAGACGTTTTACTCAGAGAAAACACACTACTCCCTCTTTCTCCTCTTATTAGTTGCATTGTAACATCAAATCCAGTTAAAATTTGACCTGTCAAGATCTTTTCTTAGCTAGGAGAAAGGAAAACAATTTTAAAAATTCTGTTTACTCTGAAACTGATCCAAAGAAAACATTAGTTAAGGGCCATATATAAAAACCAGCTTAATGTAGGTGTTTCTTATGGTCTCTAAGAAAATTGAGTGGAACTTCTGCTGTCTTCTTGTATGAAAAATACTAAGGGGGAATGGAAAGCTTAGAGTCCTTGTCTGCAGAGGCTTAGTAGCCTGTTTGGTGAAGATTAAAGACAAAAAATAGTAAAACCACACTCACCAGCAAACATTAAACCACTGGATATTTACTTAAGTGTTTCTGACAGTAAGTGCTGGAGAGTTCAAGTTAGTTTCGCTAGCTTTTGAAATGAAACCTGGGAAGCATAAAAGTCACAGAATAAAATCTGTTGTGCTTCAGATCACTGTTAAGGCCAATTAAAGAGTGGTGGGGAATGGAAGGGGGGAAGGAAGAGGAAGACAGCAATGGGATACATGCGTGACTGTGAGTCAGGATGACACCTACTATTGTGACTGCTGCTATTATTCTGAGTTGTTATTTGTCATTACTCTGCTGATTAGCTGGCAGTCACTGTTCCTGTCATGGTAGCTCCAATTCTTAAGCCATTTTCAATACATTATCAGAATAGCCTGGTGGCAGCACCAGCAACTTAGGTCCAGCAGCATCTTCCTGAGAGGTAGCATCCAGCAGAAGTCAGAGCCCTTGGACTAGAACTCTCTGCCTTGATCCACTGTTACTCTTATTTTGTTATTTTAGCACATTTTTAGACTTAATTTTTATTTTAATCTCATACACGTATATGGTTTAAAAGTAAACAGTACACAAAGCTTATAATAAAAGAGAGCATCCTAGCATGCTTCTGCACTCCCAATTCCCACTGCCCAGAGACATCCCTTTCACCTCTTTAAGCGATTTCTTTTAGTGTTTTACTCCACATTTCTAAACAACATGCCTATACTGCTGTTTCCTGATTGTTTTCAGTTTTAGTCTTCTGATGACTTCCTACCACACTCTCTTTTCCTCTCCTCGCCTCAGTGTAGTTGTAGTAAGATATTCAGTGGTCATATTGTTATGGTTATGTAGATATGATTCAAATGAAGTCACTAGTATATTATAACTACATTTCCTTATAAAGTATTTTGTTCTTTTTCTGGAATTAAAAGGTGGCTGCTTTCTTTTTATTTGGCTTTTTATTAAAAAAAATTTTTTTTTCTGTATTGATTTTAGAGAGAGAGGAAGGGAGAAGGAGGGAAAGAGAGAAACATTGATGAGAGAAAACATTGACTGTCTGCCTCCTGCATGCCCCCCACTGGGGATCAGGCCCACAACCTGGGCATTTGCTCCCACTGGAAATCGAACCGGTGACCTCTTGGTGCATGGGTTACTGCTCAACCACTGAGCCACACCTGCTGGGCAAGCTTTTTCTTTTAATTTTGATTTTTACTTTATTGATTTTTAGAGAGAGAAAGGGAGAGAAACATCGATCGTTCTATAGATTGCGCTGCTACCTACTATGTTACTTGCCTTCTGTACCACATTAAAGATTAGTTTAATTTTCTTGTGTAAGTCAAATTGGCAGTTCCACAGCCAATCACAATCTTGCGAGCACTGAATGTACAAGCGAGAAGGCGGCACCGAATACGCGAGGACTGCGTATCGGCCTCATCTATTCAGAAGCCGGGGCAGCGATGTCCGATTCAAACCCAGCTGAAATTGTTATAATAAATAGTTTTTCAGGAGACTTTATTTCATTTGGTTTAGTTATTTATGGTTTTAATTTTTCTCTTAGGCATATCACACCTGAAAAATTTTACGTGGAAGCTTGTGACGATGGAGCAGATGATGTGCTTATCATCGACCGCGTGTCCACAGAGGTCACCCTCTCAGGTATGTCATAGCCAGATTGAAATTGAAGTCGTGTCTCAACCCTCCTTCCACTCAATTTCTAATGCTCTCTCTTTTTGTTGTTGTTGTTAATCCTCACCTGAGGATATTTTCCATTGAGTTTTAGAGAGAGTGGGAGGGAGGGGAAGAGAGGGAGAGAGAGAGAGAGAGACATCAATGTGAGAGAGACATATTAATTAATTGCCTCCCTCACTGCCCCAACCGGGACTAGGGATTGAACCTGCAACCCAGGTATGTGCCCTTGACCATAATCGAACCTGTGACTCTTCAGTGTGCAGGCAGGCACTCTCACCGCTGAGCAACACCAGTCAGTGCTCTAATTCTCTTAAAGGGATAAATATTTACTTTCTGGCAAGAGGTTGAATACATTTAGTTGAAAACTGGCATTAAAAATAACCCACAATTTACCTGATAAAAATGCTGAAATATATGTTACTTTTGACGCTATACTTTGGACAGGCAGAGAGACCTTTATAACATGAACATCTTTCAATCAGTCTTTCCTCCCTCCCTCCCTCCCTCCCTTTCCTCCTTCCTTGAGAGAGGAAGGGAGAGAGAGAGAGAGAAACATCAGTGTGAGGGACGAACATCGATTGGCTGCCTCCTGCATGCTTCCCACTGGGGATGGAGCCTGAAACCCGGGCATGTGCCCTGACCAGGAATTGAACCAGGACTTCTCAGTCCATGGGACGATGCTCAGTCCTCTGAGCCACACCGGCTGGGCCGGACATCTTTATTTTAAATTCTGCCATAATGGAGGTCTAACACTAATGAAGTAGTATTGTTTTCTAAGAACATATTATACATGTTGATTTAGTTGAGGTATAACTATTGAAAGCAATGTTTTGTGATTTTTTTTTCTTTTTCTTTAAAGTCAAGAAAGATATTCCTCCTTCAGCTGTTACAAGACCAATATTTGGTATACTGGGCACAATCCATCTGGTGGCAGGTAAGGAAAAAATAAGCTAAGAAGGCTAAAGAAGATAATTAAATTGACACTGTAGAGTATAAGATGAGGGCATACTTCATATCATGCTTTAGGAAATAATCTGTAGATTAGGTATTTGTCATTAATTTCTAAAAGTAATATACCCTAAATGGTTAAATTTATCAGCCTGGGGTTCTATTAAAAAAATAATTTTGTTTTTGGTTTTACTAGGGTTGAAATCCCTAGTCAACTAAACATTATTAATTAATTCTAAGAGTATTTAAATAAAAATTTTAATGAATTGATGGACCACCAGAGTATTCCACCTTCATATGAATATGACATAGTGCATGTTAGAGAATATTACATGGTTCTGAGTTATTAGGAAAGTGATTTTGTTTATCTAAGATTCATTTCATTGAACTTTTAAAAAATTCATGTTGTTAGACGCTAAGTTATAAAAGATGCAAGTCCCTTTCGTCCTCACTTTACAGTCTAGAGAGAGGCATTTAAGTAGTAAATTACTGCAATATAGTGTGACAACTTCTAGGAGAGAGATATACATAGGAAAACTGCCAGGGAGGGCACTTGTAAGTAGAGTCTGTTCAAGAGCTTAAGAATTAATTAGTGGGAAAGACTTACCCTATTTTGTTTGTGGGGGGAGGAGTGGCCAGGATCAGGGTTGGTATACTGTGCATGGTGCTGTGCTGGCTCCCTGATGCCTGCCTGCTCATCTTTGTACAGATGCTCCAGACTTACAATGGGCTTACATCCCAGTAAACCTATCATAGGTTGAAAATGTAAGTCGAAAATGCATCTAATACACCCAACCTCCCGAACATCATAGCTTAGACCACCTACCTTAAACGTGCTCAGAGCCCTCATATTAGCCTCCAGCTGGGCAGCATCTCTGACACATGAACACATTGTAGTTTACCCTCGTGATCGCATGTCTGACTAGGAGCTGTAGCCCCGGACAGCAGCCCAGTATCGTGGGAGGGGATCCTACCGCTAGCCCAGAAAAGATCCAAATTTAAAAATTGAAGTATGGTTGCTACTGAATGCATATTGCTTGAGCACCATCATAAAGTAGAAAAATCCTAAGCCAAACCATTATAAGTTGGGGACCATCTGTAACGTTGTATTAACCAGGCAGTTATACTACTGCCCAGCACATTTCTCTACCATTATAGAATGAAGTGAAAGACATAGAGTGGTGTTGATGGGACATTGTCCTGCAGTGGTCAGATCTCATAACCTATGGTAATTTAAGCTACACCATGGGAAATGTATTAGCAGAAGCTTGTCTGGCTTGGGGATGAGAGGAGAGAGGGGAAAATGTCTCTGGATCAACTTTGATCTGCTAAGATCACTGCTTTAGAAAAAAAATTTGAACTTTCAATAGGAATTTTTCTAAATAATATGCTGATCTTTTTGTTTATAAATTATAAGATTGCTTTAAAAAAAGTATGGGCCTTACTCTTATTTAACATAGTACTGGAAGTCTTAGCCACAGCAATCAGACATGAAGAAAAAATAAAAGGGATCCAAATTGGAAAGGAGGAAGTGAAACTCATTATTTGCAGATGACATGATATTATACATAGAAAATCCTAAAGACTCCATCAGAAATCTACTAGACTTAATAAATGAATTTGGCAAAGTAGCCGGATACAACATTAATGTCAAGAAATTGACGACATTCTTATACACCAATGATGAACTCACAGAAAGAGAAACTGAAAAAACCAATCCCATTTACCATCGTGGCAAAAAAATTAAGATACCTAGGAATAAACTTAACCAAAGAAGTAAAGGACCTATTTGCAGAAAATGACAGGACATTGAAAAAAGAAATAGAGGAAGATATAAAAAAGTGGAAGCACATACCTTGTTCATGGATTGGAAGAATTAACATCATTAAAATGTCCATGTTACCCAAAGCAATCTGTAGATTCAATGCAATCCCCATCAAAATACCAATGGCATATTTCATAGAACTAGAACAAATACTTTAAAAGTTCATATGGAACCAAAAGACCCCGAATAGCCACAGCAATCTTGAAAAAGAAGGAAAAAGTAGGTGTGATCACTATACCGGATATCAGGTTAACTACAAAGCTACTGTAATCAAAACAGCCTGGTACTGGCACAAGAACAAGCATATGGATCAATGGAACAGAACAGAGAACCCAGAAATGGACCCAAGACATTATGCTCAATTAATATTTGACAAGGGAGGCAAGAGCATACGATGGAGTAAAGACAGCCTCTTTAATAAATGGTGTTGGGAAAATTGGACAGCTACATGCAAAAAAATGAAACTAGACCATCAACTTACACCATACACAAGAATAAACTCAAAATGGATAAAAGACTTAAATGTGACCCATGAATCCATAAAAATCCTAGAAGAAAATGTAGGCCAACAAAATTTCGGACATCATACGCAGCAGAATTTTCACTGATACATCACCTAAGGCAACAGAAACAAAGGAAAAAATGAACACATGGGACTACATCAAACTCAAAAGCTTCTACACAGCAAAAGATACAACCGTCAAAATGGAAAGGCAACCCACTGTATAGGAGAGCATCATTGCTAATGATACATCAGATTAGGGGTTGATTTCCAAAATATATAGAGTACTCATACAACTCAACAAAAGGAAGACAAAGAACCCAATTAAAAAATGGGCAGAGAAGCTGAATAGACACTTCTCCAAACAGGACATACAAATGGCCAAGAGACATATGAAAAAAGGCTCAACATCACTAATCATCAGAGAGATGCAAATTAAAACAACAATGAGGTATCACCTCACATCTATCAGAATGGCCACCATCAACAAATCATCAAATAAGTATTGGTGAGGGTGTGGAGAAAAGGGGACTCTAGTACACTGCTGGTGGAATGCAGGCTGGTGTAGCCACCATGGAAAACACTATAGTGTTACCTCAAAAAATTAAAAGTTGAATTGTCATTTGACCCAGTGATCCCACTTCTAGAAATATACCCTAAGAAGTCTGAAACACCAATCAGAAAGAATATATGTACCCCCATGTTCATAGCAGCACTATTTACAATCGCTAAGATCTGGAAACAGCCCAAGTGTCCATCAGTAGTCGAATGGATAAAAAAGTTTTGGTACATGTACACAATGGAGTACTATGCAGCTGTAAGAAAGAAAGATTTCTCATCCTTTGAGATGACACGGAGAGACCTGGAAAGTATTATCCTAAGCAAAACAAACCAGGCAGAAAAAGACAAATGCTACATGATCTCACTTATTTGCGGAATATAATGAATATAACAGTCTGAGGAATAGGGTAGACCCGGAGACGTGAAAGTAGGGTACAGACTGACAACCCTTGGAATAGAGGTGGTGGAGGGAGGGAGGAGATAAACCATAGAACTTATACGCATGTATGCATAACCAATGGACATGGACAACAAAGCCGGTCACGGGGTGACGGGGATGGGGAGGAGGGTGTCAGTAGGGTAAAAAAGGAGATACATCTGTAACAAAAATAAAATAAATAAATAAAAAATTGAAAAAAAAAAAGTATGGGCCCTTTATTTGTATAGCACGATGCAATCTCATTCGCTAGCCTTTAGAGTTTAAACAACAAAGACTGCTACTTTTGGTGTTAGAGTTCCCTTATTTATATTTATCTGAGTTTGGCTTTGCTTTTTTTCAGGAAATTATCTAATTGTCATTACCAAAAAGATAAAAATAGGTGAATTTTTCAATCATGTAATCTGGAAAGCAACAGATTTTGATATTCTTTCTTATAAGAAGACCATGTTGCACTTAACTGATATTCAGGTAAGAAATGGAAGCACTTACTAGTTGTAACACCCAGAGTAGTACCATTGGGGGGCTGGAGAGAGGGAGGTGGAATACGAAGAAAATTTGCTGGATTTTTAAGCCTAATTATTTAAGCAACCCATAGAGCAAGGTCACTTTATATACCTTCATACCCAGCATAAAATATATTAAAACAATTCTTCATATGTTTTATTTCTCTTGTTTTTTTTAACTGACTCATTTCTTAAATTATGAAATTTCATGTGAAGAGAAAAGGACAAACAGAAAATGCCTATGTTCTCAACGCTCAGTTTTAACTTCATATTCTTTTTGTAAAAGAAATAAAATGTTAAATACCTTTGAAGTTCCACTGATCCTATTTCATTCCCTCTTTCCCCAGAGAAAAAGTTCTTTACTTTTGCCCCATGTGAATGTAAATGTGTATGTATATGTGTTCAAACAGTCCTCTTTTTGCACAATCCCTGTACGCGCGGGTTTTAGTTGGCATGGTTTAGTTACTGTCAGTCCCCCAACAACATGGTTGGTATTTCAGTTATCCTGGTATAGTAACTAAAGATGATCCCACCAAAGATGAAAGTGCAGACAAACGAAAAGTGACAGCTCTGGGAACGTAATTCAGATTGAACATAAATGGGGGTAGAAGAAATAGCTGACTGTGGGAATGCTGATGTTGTTGCTGTTCAAGAGACCTAGATACAGAGCCAGAGGTCTCAGTGAAGGTGAATTCATCAACAGTAATGATGAAGTGGTTATGTCTCTTAAGTACCAAACATCAACAATTATTGTAAACAATTTTTATTTTTTGATTTGAGAGAAAGTGAGAGAAACGTTGATTTTTTGTTCTGCTTATTTATGCATTCGTTGATTGATTCTTTTTTTTTTTTTTTTATCCTCACCCGAGGATATTTTTCCATTTTTTGTACAGATAGAGTGGGAGGGGGAGAGAGGAAGGGAGAGAGAGAGAGAGAAACATCGATGTGAAGGGACACATCGAGTGGCTGCCACCCGCACGACCAACCAGGGCCGGGGACAAACTGCAACCGAAGTACGTGCCCTTAGCGGGAACCGAACCCGGGTCTCTCCGGACCGCAGGCTGACGCTCTAACCGCTGAGCCAAACCGGCCAGGGCTGATTGATTCTTATATGTGCCTTAAATGCGCAATGTTGGCTAATGGAACGACACTAACCAACTGAGCTAGCTGGCCAGGGCAACGGTTATTTTTTTAGAACAAAGATAAAAACAAATGTCGATCTTGGTATTCATTGGGAAAGCCAGCTAAAATGATTATCAGAAAATAAAGATAGATACTACTTTTACAGGACTTTTTATTTTCTTTTTTTAAAGAATTCTGTTTTATTTACCATCCACCCCAACCAATAAAGTTTCTTAAGAACAGGGATGGTATTCTCTTGTTCGTTTGTGTTACTGGGCCCCTTGTGAATTTATGTATTTCACTTGTCAAATGAGGATAATTCCTAACCTAGCAGGGTTGTTTTCTAGTTTTCTTTTTTTGAATATGTACTCTTTATTGTTGTTTGTTCTAGCAGGGTTGTTTTTGAAGGTAAAAGAAAAATCTGTGTAAAGTATCTGGACCACAGTAGGTTGTAACCTCAGTGGGTGAGATTTTATTAAAATAACTCTTCTGCCCATTTGAGTAAAAATTGTGAAAGGTACCAGAGGGGAGGAGTTCTGCGTAATCAGTTAATATAGTCATGCCTTATACTCGTTACTGAGCATCATCTGAGTTAGGAACTGTTCTAGGTCCTGTGGAAATGGTGAGTGTCCCCCTCCCCAGCCCAGTTCTTGTGGCATTGATGTTTAATAGGGCCAGACTAACAGGTTTTGATTTTCAGTCCTTTTTCATGCTGACATTTTTTTTAAAGTATGAGGTAGACTGAGTTTTTAATCTCCTTTGTTTATAGTTACAAGATAATAAAACCTTCCTAGCAATGATAAACCATGTCTTGAATGTGGACGGATATTACTTTTCAACCACCTATGATCTGACCCACACTCTGCAGCGGCTGTCCAACACCAGTCCGGAGTTCCAGGAGATGAGCCTCTTGGAGAGGGTGAGCTGCATTGTCACTTATTTTCATTTATTTGGGTGTTTTTGTTTTTTTTTTTAAGAGACATGTCTCTATTTTATCCATAAAAATATATTTTGATTTTTTCTCAGTCCTGGCTGTATCAGGATTGTGTATAGACCTTTGAAAATATATCATGTTTCAAATATATATCAGTCCCAAATTTAGGAACCCAATCTGTATATTTTACACAGACAGGATAGAGAACCATCATATCAGTAGTCAGAAATCCAGTCTAAACTCACATGTTGGTAATCCCCTAGCGTTAGGTGTTCTACAGTCTAACATTTGTTAGCTTAGTAACAATTATGCTTACAAAACAAATGTTCTAATAGGTAATGTTCTTCCTGCAGTGGTGTCATAGTTTTTGCAGCTAGCAAAGTAACAACTTCTTTTCAAGAGAAAAACTTTCTTTTGTTTAGGGTGGGGTTATTTTTTTGTTGTTATTTTGCTTTTAAAATTTTTTTACAGATGAATGTATCTTTAAAACTGGGTCTCAGATGATCTCAGCTGAAAATTTTTGCTGTTCTGGAACCTGGATGATCTCTACCTTGAGTTTTCATTAACAAACCAAGTTGTGTTTAGGAGGCAGACAGAATTTAAGAGGTTGCTGTTATGTGTTGGATTGGACCATATGAAATTGCCAGTATTTGCCCAGTTTTGCCCAATAAAAATGATAATTTAATACAGTTCAACCTAAATCAGTGTTTTAGTTGATTGGCTTTATTAAGATTACATACTCTAATCTAGTAAATTTATGTAGGCTTGGCTGTAAATTCAGATGTCAGCTAAGCAATCAAGAAATGTGGCTTTTAACTGCGAAGAGACTTGCTTTTTTTTTTTAAGATGGCAGTTTATTTATTTGTTTTTTAAGTATGTTTTTATTTATTCCAGAGAGAGGAAGGGGGGTGGTGGTGGGAGAAAGAAACATTGATGAGAGAGAAACATCTATCGGCTGCCTCCTACACAGTTCCTACTGGGGATCAAGGCCCTAATGGACATGTGCCCTGACTGGGAATCAAATCAGGACCTCTCAGACCATGGGACAATGCTCAGTCCACTGAGCCATACCAGCCGGGCTGGTTGGTATGTTTTATGGAGAGAACTGGTTAATCTACTGAGTTGTTGAAGGAGCTGCTTCTATATTTATAGTTTGAAAGATGGAATGGCCAGAGGCGAGATTAGAGAGTTCAGTAGGTGCTCCCAGATCTCAGGACTGGTTAGGCCACACAGATGTGGTTCTTTAGATGACCGAGCCAGCGAGGAATTCCCAGCACAGGGCGGCCTGCCTGTTAGAGAACTCTGCCAGCAGCGTGTGGACTAGGGTGGGAGGGCAAGGGCACACGTTGACTTCAGCAGGTAGACTGGAGTGAAGTGCTGGCCAGGGGCGGTGGCAGCAGGGATGTAGCAGGGAGGCTGGTTTGCCGATTGGCTGTGTGGGAAAGAAGGACCCTGAGAGGACTCCCCGGTTTCCGGGCCAGCAGCACCGGCTCGAGGCAGTGAGACAGGGAACCCACTGGACGGGGCTGATGTGAGGGGGAGAGTTCTCTTTGGAGCTTGTCAGAGACACCTGTTTCTAGCCAAGAGGTGGAAACCTTGATTGTCATAGTTTTCTTTCTGTAGAAACTTACCCTGGCAGGAGATATTTTATTAATTTTAAAACTTCTCTCTTAGGCAGATCAGCGATTTGTATGGAATGGTCATCTTCTGAGAGAACTTTCTGCTCAGCCAGAGGTAACGTACATTAAATAAAACCTGCTTATTTGTTATAGTCCAAGTTTTAATTGAATACCTATTATAAAGTGGCTACCTACTCACCAGAGATTTGGGTAAATAAGTATAATTTAACTCTGTTTATGACTTTAAACTTTGATCCACGTTTGCCCTCTCACATTGTTCTATCTCCTAAAGGAGCCTTAAATAAAGTAAAAATACATGTTTTATTTTATTGTTTTTTACAAATAAGAGAGAGAGATTGAGTCTTGGTGGGTGAATATGGAGAAATGAGGGGCCAGAGCCAAGTCCCCAGACAGTGGGAGCTCTGCATTGTCTTCCTGTGGGGATGTGAGTCCCTCCAGTCACCCAGCAGCAGCATAGAGGTCACCTTCCCCGTCCTTGGTTTGTACAAATGCGATATGAACGAGGAGGCCCAGCCAGGATGTGTAATATAGTGAATCTGGGTAAATAGATTTGCCCAATGGCTTTCTTGTCGTGTGCTTTGCTTTTCTTGGAAAAGTAATATGAGCTGCAAACACTTAGCATGAGCATATCTTTCCCCTGGAGGAGTGAAGTTCTTGGAGGCAAAGGCTGAAAAGGAGGGAGGTAAACATTTGCCGACTGCAGGTGGTTTCATTAGTGTTCCAAGGTCTGAATGTCCAAGCGCAATGATTATAGCACATTTTCAAATTTTTTAATAGAAAAGGCAGTGTTACATTAGAGAAATTTCTTTAAAATTAAAAGCTTACTACCTTATTATACTTGTATATTACCTCCTCGTTTGTAAATATCTTATATTGTACTTTTTGTTTACTTTTAAAGTATAGTTATTCCTAACTATAATGTGTATCTTTGTTTTAGGTCCATCGGTTTGCTCTTCCAGTGTTGCATGGCTGTATCCTTACATGACACTGCTCTGTGGTTTTCTCGCAGTCTTTATTTCAGCAGTTCTCAGCCTGTGGGTCGCGACTTCTTTGGGGGTCGAACAACCCTTTCACAGGGGTCACCTAAGACCATCTGAAAACACATATTTCCGATGGTCTCAGGAACCGAGACACCGCTCCTCTATCCATCTCCAGGCTGGTCCGCCCAGGTGCAGATACGCCCACATACAACATGGGGAACTGTATTAAAGGGTCGGCATTAGGAAGGTTGAGAACCACTGCTTTATTTGAATACTATTCTAAGGCAGATGTAGAGACAGTCTCAAATACTGCATGAGGAGAGAGCATTGTAGAATTAATAGAAATTGCTTTTGATAACAAAATCAAATCAAAAGCAGTTTCTACTAATTCTATAATTATTTAATTGTAAGTTTACTTTAAAAACTAATCTTTATCATAGACATTATAATTAAAATAGGAAAGGGAAGTGAGCTGGCTGTTAAAGGGTACGCACAGTATGCGGATGAGTGCCCAGAGTCAGGGCAGTGCCCTGCAGAGACCAGGTGATCTTCCTGTCGGGGTCCCCCAAGAAGCTTAATACAGCAGTCTGATTCATTTGTTGGTTATGCTAATGCGATTTCCTTAAATTATGCCTGTTACGCACAAAGAAAAGCAGAAGAGTAATGGAGGAAACATTTTCCACAGTTATAGGAATAAAAATGAGAAGATATCTGGATAAAAGCTCTTGTTTATTCTGTTTGTTTGTTTTTCTCCCTTCCCTGGAGCTTTCCAAGTTCTCCTAAGGAGAAAATAAGAACAGATGTATTTAGGTAGTGCTTTAAGAAGTTTGGGCCAATTGTGGGTTTTTGTTTTTTTTTTTTCTTTCTCCCAAATGAGATTGTGAATGGACAAAAAATATCAAGTGAAATTATGAAACACTCTAGGCGACTTTAGAACAGTTGATTCATTGGCTTAATCTAAAGCTTTAAATCAACTTTTGTTTACTGTAGTTTCTTGATTAGTTGTATAGTCTCATGCTTCACACACATACAGAGAGATCAACAAGAACCAAGGCCCCAAGGCAGGTGCCTGCCTGGATCAGGGCGAGTGGACAGGAGAGGTGGGAGCTCTAGTCAGAGAAGTGGTTGTGCCCAGATTATGCAGGGCCGAATAGGTGGTGTCTTTTACTTCAGCTGTGATGGGAAACTGTTGGGATCTAAATAGACGATTGGCCTGCTAAGAGAGGATTGCTCTTGACAGTAGGCCAGAGAGCAGGCCGAAGGAGAGCAAGGGCAGGTACAAGGGATAATTCGGAGGCAGTCTCAGTAATCCAGGAGGTGTGAAATGCCTGGAGCTGAGCTGAGAGCAGTGGTGTGGTGAAGAGTGGTTAGGTTCTAGATACATAGGGCGTCCCAAAATGTGGGTGCACACTTTGAATAATTATAAATTCCAGTGGGTTAAATCGGAAAGGAAACATCGACTGAGCTGTCAGCTGTTAAGTGTGTATACATTTTTGGGGGGACACCCTGTATTTTGCAGGTAGAGCTAACAGGATTTTTTGACAAATTGTACATGGGGCTTAAAAGAGAAGTTTACTAGGAATCTAAATTTTTGACCAGAGTAAGTGGAAGGAGGAGGCGGGAAGAGCCCAGAGGGGGAGGGAGGCTGAGAGTGCTCAGGATTCTGTTTGGAATGTGAAACTGGAGATTTCTATAGATATCCGAGTTGATTTGGTCACTCTAAACTCTTCTCTTTCATACCCCGTGTATAGTTTGTCAGAGTGGTTTAATCTGGAGATCATGCACGTGATTTCTCTGTTACATTTTCTGAACGTAGTTAAGTTATTACCATGCACTCCTGTTCTGTGAATGGAAAGTACTTTGATTGGATTCTCATCTCGAGGAGAAGCTGTTTCAGAGCTGGCGTGCGCTACTACGTGAGAGGTAGGGTTAGTTTTGTCAGTATGATGCAGTACTGGTTATATCTGTCACCAATTAATGTTTTGTTTTACCGTGATGTGACTGTAACCTTTTGTATTTTATTTGTTTTCATTACCATTTGATAGCCTCGATAAATATTTATCTCCTGCTTCATTATAATAATTAGGTAGGTCCAGCCACTGTAGTTACATTGCAAATGTTAAGAGACACTGTCCACTGCTTCTTACTACTCCAGAGAAACTGATCATGGTATTTGCTGGATGTGTGACAGCAAGCTTGAGCGCAGTGTAGTTTTCAGTAATCTAAACTCATATCAGAAAGTATTTTCTTTATTGTTCTTGGTTTCTTTACATGCATAAAGCTAGACATTTGACTTTATGCCTTCAACTTCAAAGATTTACATTTGGAGCCTTTGTTCTCTAGGCTTTGTACTAGCAAATGCTGATTTGCTTAAACCAAGCTTTTAAAATCTGTATTAAAAGTTACTGTTGTCCGGCCAGTGTGGCTCAGTGGTTGAGCGTCGACCCATGCACCTAGAATGGAAGGGAGGTTGGGTAGAGAGAGAGAGAAACATCGATGTGAGTGAGACACATCAGTTGGTTCCCTCGACCAAGACCAGGGATCAAACCTGCAACCCAGGTACATGCTCTTGACCGGGAATTGAACCTGCAACCCTTTGGTCCAAAGGCTGACTCTTTCAACCACTTGAGCCTAACTGGGCAGCGTCCATCTCACTTTTAAAAATAACTACATATTATTCCTTAATGGGACTATGGGAATTATGGAAAGAACAAAGTATAGCCAATGATTCTGACAAGTAATTTTAGAGAGTGTTGAGAAGGCATTTTATTACCGATTTGACTCAATAATTTTGTCTCCTTCTGGTAATATAGAAACAACAAAAAAAATCCTGCCCTGGCCAGTTTGGCTCAGCGGTTAGAGCGTTGGCCTGCGGTCGGGAGAGACCCGGGTTCGGTTTCCGCTAAGGGCACGTACTTCGGTTGCAGTTTGTCCCCGGCACTGGTTGGTCGTGCGGGTGGCAGCCACTCGATGTGTCCCTTCACGTCGATGTTTCTCTCTCTCTCCCTTCCTCTCTCTCCCTCCCACTCTATCTGTACAAAAAAAAAAAAAAAAAAATCCTGCCCTGGCCGGTTTGGCTCAGCGGTTAGAGCGTTGACCTGTGGTCCAGAGAGACCTGGGTTCGGTTCCCACTAAGGGCACATACGTCGGTTGCAGTTTGTCCCCGGCCCTAGTTGGGTCGTGTGGGTGGCAACCACTCGATGTGTCCCTTTCACATTGATGTTTCTCTCCCTCTCTCTCTCTCTCTCTCTCTCCCTCCCCCTTCCACTCTATCTGAACAAAATATCAAAAAATGTCCTCGGGTGAGGATAAAAAAAAAGAGTAATAATAAAAAAAAAAAAAACTGATACCTGACACCTCAAAATGTTATGTTGGAGAAATATGTCAGATAGAGATAACATTAAGAAATATTTGAGCCCTGGCCAGTTTGGCTCAGCGGTTAGAGTGTTGGCCTGCAGTCCAGAGAGACCTAGGTTCGGTTCCCGCTAAGGGCATGTACTTCGGTTGCAGTTTGTCCCCGGCCCTCGTTGGGTTTTGCGGGTAGCAGCCACTCGTTGTGTCCCTTTCACATCGATGTTTCTCTCTCTCTCTCTCCCTCTCCCTCCCACTCTATCTGAACAAAATATGAAAAAATGTCCTCGGGTGAGGGGAAAAAAATAATATATATTTGAGGTGTCTGGCTGGTGTGGCTCAGTGGTCATCGACCCATGCACCAAGAGGTCTCTGGTTCAATTCCCAGTCAGGGCACATGCCCAGGTTGTGGGCCCGGTCCCCAGTGGGGGGCATGCAGGAGGCGGCTAGTTGATGTTCTCTCTCATGGATGCTTCTCTCTCTCTCTTCCTCTCCCTTCCTCTCTAAAATCAATAAAGAAACAAAAATATTTGAGGTGATTAAAAATCTGCTGATTTCTTTCTGATAATTTGGTAATTTGAGTCAGGGATTAGCTTGAAAGTTACCTTTGCTCAGCAAGCTTTTCTTAGTAAAAATAGATCATGTAAACAAGACTAAGGGAATGCTTCCAATATGTGAAAGGACTAACCTGTATACAGACTAATACTTTAGAGCAGCGCTTTTCAAACGAGGCTTTGTGGGCATGTTCGTGGAGTTAGAGAAATTTGAGGGTCAATACAATTTTTGTGTTCTCATTTTGATCATTTAAATCACTATATGCATCTTCTGGACCATTTTGATTATTATAACAAAATAACATAATGGCTCGTATTTGCATTAAATATTGTGTTTAATGGTTTTAACTTTCAAAATAGTATTTTTTAAACTGGCATTTATGGACATACTCTGAGGAATCCTTGAGAATTTATTTTTCTTTAAATTATATCTTAAGTTTGAGAAACACTGTGTTTGAGGAATTATAGGATTGTGTATGTATAAACAATTGATATATTAAATAATAATCAATGTTATTTATTAATAGGTACTTAATATTCCCCTTTAAGCCTGTTTAAAATGAATGAGCATCTGTTAGCTTTCTGATCACGTGTTGTGCATTTGTTTAAAATGTATTTTTATAAGTAGTTTTCCACTAATTTGAACTGACTTAATTCTCTCCAAGTTAAACTGAATTAGTGAGTTTCTGATGTGTTTCTTATGTGATAAATATAGTTAATTGAAGTTTTTTTTCAATTTAGGAATTGATTCTGAAGGCCATGCAGCTAACTTTGTGGAAACAGAACAAATTGTCCACTACAATGGAAGCAAAGCTTCATTTGTCCAGGCAAGTTATATGTCTGTGAGGCAGCCAGCCAGTTGTCCTTTTCTGCTTGGATCATAGTTTTCTGTCATGTTACTGAAATTTCCCTTTCCTCCCCTCCTTTTTGTATCCTCACCCAGGGATATTTTTCCATTGATTTTTAGATAGAGTAGAAGGGAAGGAGGGAGGGGGGGAGAGAGAGAGAGAGAGATTTTGCCTCTGGCACAACCCCAACCAGAGCCGGGGATCGAACCTACAACCCAGGTATGTGCCCTTGGCAGGGAATTGAACTCTCGACCCTTTGGTCCTCGGACCGATATTCTAACCACTGAGCCAAACTGGCCGCTGCTCCTTCTCCCCCTTGTCCCCCCCCCCCCACACACACACACCTTTTAAAATATCTTTGTCTACAATGTGGAAAAAGTTTACTCAAAACAAAGGTATTCCATTAATCTGACACCCAGTTTTCTGACATTTCCCGTCCTTGAATTAAATCCGGAGGGGAGAGGGTAGGGGTAGGAGGGGCAAGGGTTATGGAAATGGAGCCACCTTTCCGCTTAAACTTATTCAGGGCTGTAGTGATGGGACAGCTGTCTCTACCTGCCTGGACTTCATTGTGAGATAGTCTGTCTTTCTTGTTGCCTCTTTGAGAAGCTCCAGAGCATCAGTGGCTAAACATACAAGTTCATGCCCCATATTCATCTGATAATGCATACAGACATTTTCCACTTTTATTATAATGCCAAATTATAAAACAGACATAACCTGTTAATTTCTACTCATAGAGAAATTGATTCATTTTAGAATTTAGGGGAAACACTGAACTGTACTACACTAGTGCTGTGTATATAAAATCAGAAGGGATAAAAGGTCCTTTCCAAATGTATTCCCACAAAATTGAAACTTTAAGAGCAGGTATACCTGGACTTCTTTCATAGTTGGTAAGGTTGTATTTATACTTTTTCCTTTGCAGTCATTGATATGTATACCCCTGACAATAAGTAAGCTGATAAAGACAAGTTTGCGTGTATGTTTTTATTTTTATTTTTTCCACATTTCTCTTTTTTCTTTTAGACTCGAGGATCAATACCAGTTTTCTGGTCTCAGAGACCAAACCTCAAGTACAAACCACGGCCACAGATCAACAAAGTAGCTAATCATGTATGTATCTTCCATGCTTTCCTTATTGGCTAAAACTGGAATTATTGGCATTATAATTTATATTTCAATAAGATTTGCAATTATATATGGTGTTTAGAGTATTGAGTGTATTCTATTTGAGATTGTGCTCAGAATTAAAGTGGCAGTATTGCAGTTTGGAGTGGAATGGGTATAATTACTGTGCACTACTTGGTATTTAGAATGTCTAGGAGACATGGTTCAACAGAGAGGGTGTTTAAAGAGATACTTTAAAACATCTTATAAATGTTCTGGTAAAGTGTAAAATTCTTTTTTCTTCTCTAGATGGATGGTTTCCAAAGGCATTTTGATTCGCAAGTAATTATTTATGGAAAACAAATCATAATCAATCTGGTATGTTTCTTACTTGTTTTGGGGGGAGCAAAACAAACCAAAAAAAATTGACTTTCTTTTTATCTAACATAAAGTCTATTATTTCTGCCATTTTTAATTGTGCAGTTTAGTGGCATCAAGAGTGCTGTACAACCATCACTACTGACCTTTCCCAACTTTTCATCGTACCAAACAGAAACTCAGTACCCATTAAACTTAACTTCCTGTTATCCCTCCCCCTCAGCCCCACGTAACTGTTCTATTTTCTATCTATACATTTGCCTATTCATATAATATTTGTTCCTTTGTATCTTGCTTATTTCACCTAGCATAATGTTGTTAAGGTCCACTGATGTTGCAGCATGTATCAAAATTTCATTCCTTTTAAGACTGAATAAATACTCCATTGTATGTGTGTACCAGTTTGTTTATCTATCTATTCATCAATGGACATTAGATTGTTTCCACATTTTAGCTATTGTGAATAATGCTGCTGTTAACGGGTGTACAAGTATCTGTTTGAAGCCCTGCTTTCAATTATTTTAGGTATATACTACTAGAGGAATTGCTGTCTCTTATGATAATTCTGTGTTTAATTTTTTAAGGAGCCACCATACTGTTCTTTACAGTAGCTACACCATTTTGCATTCCTACCAACAATGCACCAGGGTTCCAGTTTCTCCACATCCTTGTCAGCACTTGTTATTTTCTAGATTTGTTTTTTGATTATAGTCATCCTTATGGATGTGAGGTGTTGTCTCGTTGTGGTTTTGATTTGCATTTCTCTCATGACTAGTGATGTTGAGCATCTTTTCATGTGGCCATTTGTATATCTTCTTTGGAGATACTTTGCAGTATCCTTTTATTTTAACCCGAAGGACTCCCTTTAGCATTTCTTGTAGGGAAGGTCTAGTGATAATGAACTCTCTCAGCTTTTATTTATCTAAGAATGTCTTAATTTCTCTCTCACTTTCAAAAGACAGTTTTGCAAGCTACAGAATTTTTAGTTGATGGTTCTTTTGTTTTGCTTTCTGTTTATTTTTTATTAAATTTATTGGGGTGATACTGGTTAAAATTATATAGGTTTCAAGTGTACAGTTCTGTGATACATTATCAGTATATTGCATTGTATGTTCATCACCCACAGTCAGATCTCTTTCCGTCACCATATATTTAACTCTCTTTACCCTTCACTACACCCCCACCCTCCTTTTCCTCTGGTAACCACCATACTGTTGTCTGTGTCTACGAATTTCTGTTTGTCTTGTTTGTTCACTTGTTGTTTTCAGACAGTTCTTTTCTTTCAGTACTTCATATGTATCATCCCACTGCCTTCTGGCTTCTAAGGTTTCTGAAGAGAAATTGGCATATAATCCGATTGAAAATTTCCTGTATATGATGAGTCTCTTCTCTTGATGATTTCAGTATCTTTTCTGTATTTCTGTAGTTTGATTATAATGTGTTTGGTGTGGGGTCACTGGTTTTATTACGCTCGGAGTTTGGTTTACTTCTTGGATTTCAAATTTGGGAAGTTTTGGGCCCCTTTTTTTTTTTTTGATTGATTTCTCTCTCTCTCTCTCTCTTTTTTTTTGAGAGGGAGAGAGGGATGGAAATATCGATGAGAGAACATTAATTGGCAGCCTCCTGCATGCCCTCCACTGAGGATTTGGCCCACAGCTGGGGCATGCGTCCTGACCAGGAATCAAACAGGCAACTTCTTGGTGCATGGACTGACGCTCAACCAGTGAGCCACACCGGCCGGGTGGGCCACTTTTTCTTTATATCAACTCTGCACCTTTTTCTCTCTCTTACCTCTCTTTCTGGGACTCCCACAATGAGTATATCGTCTGTTCATTGATTTACTGGAAGTCCTATATGCTCTGTTCACTTTTCTTCATTCTCTCTTCTTCCTGCTTCTGACTTAATTATTTCCTTTCTCCTATCTTCAAGTTTGCTGATTCTTTCTTCCTGCTATATTGCTTTTGAACTCCTCTAGTGAATTTTTTTTTTTTATCCTCACCTGAGGACATTTTTGCATTTATCTTCAGATAGAGCAGGAGGGAGAGAGGGGGGAAGAGAGAGAGAGAGAGAAACATTGACGTAAGAGAGACACATTGACTGGTTGCCACCCACACGACCCCAACCAGGGCCAGGGAGAAACTGCAACTGGGGGACTTGCCCCTAGCAGGAACTGAACCTGGGACTCTGGTCTGCAGGCCAGCGCTCTAACCCCTGAGCCAAACTGGCCAGGGCTCTAGTGAATTTTTTATTTCTATTTTGTAATTTTTAGCTCCAGACTTAGTGTTTGGGTCCTTTGAATAATTTCGGTTTCTTTGTTGATAGTCTTGTTTTGTTCATATACTGTTTTCCTGATTTCCTTCAGTTCTTTGTCCATTTTTCATTATAGTCTGAGCATATTTAAGACAGTTACTTTAGAACCTATTTCTAATAGGGTTTGTGCAAGCATGGTTTCCATCAATTTGTCCTTTTGTATTAAATAACCTTTGTTTTTTTATTTTCTTGTATGCCCTGTAATTTCTTTGTTGTTGAAGTTGGAGCATTGGGTGGTTATAATGTGGTAACTCTGAAAGTCAGATTCTTCTTTCCCATGGGTTTTCTGGGCTTTTGTTTTGTTTTGTGTTTTTTTTGGTTTTGTTTTACTTGTTGAAGGCTATAGTAATCCATTTGTTTTTAGACTTTTCCATACTGTTTTTGCTAAGACTATTTCTTGTCCTGTATGCTCACTGAAGTCTATTCTCTCATGTTCAGCTGATGTTATGACAGATGTCCTTGAATGCCAGAAATTGGAACAGACAAGGAAAAAACAAAGAAGCGAGAACCTCAGCTCCCAGTCTCTGCAGATTGGTTCTGTGTTGGAGCAGTCCTTCACTGATTAGCTAGGCTTGCTCTGAGCCTAGGGACCAGCCCGAGGTGAAGACTTAAGACCTTCTCAGGGCTCTTCTGAGCCTGCATCTCACCTGGTGTACATGTGGCTTTCTAAAATCCTTCTTATACATGGCTGCTTTTTAAAAAATGTTTTTATTGATTTTTTAGAGAGAGAGGAAGGGGGAGAGAGAGAGAGAAACATTGATGTGAGAGAAACATCAGTTGGCTGCCTCCTGCACACCCTCTACTGGGGATCGAGCCCACAATCTAGGTATGTACCCTGACTGGGAATCGAACCGGAACCTCTCAGGCCATGGGACGACGCTCAGTCCACTGAGCCACACTGGCCAGGCCACGGCTGTTTTCTTTTTATATATATAAATCTTTTTTTTAATAATAATTTTTCTTTATTGATTTTAGAGAGAGAGAGGAAGGGAGTGAGAGAGAGACAGAAACACTGATGAGAGAGAACATCAATTGGCAGCCTCCTGCATGCCCCTCCACTGGGGATCAGGCCCACAACCTGTCGTGTGCCCTGACCAGTAATCGAACCGGCAACCTCTTGGTGCATGGCAACGCTCAACCAGTGAGCCACACCGGCTAGGCTATGGCTGCTTTTTAATGTCCTAATTTCCCAAAAAACATCACCCCAGTCTTTGTGCAGGCTTAGATTGTCTATTTCATGTCCCCACCTGAAATCTTTTGCCTTCAGCATCTGTTGGTTTGTAGTCCTCTTGAAGCTTCATAACCAGCGTCCACCACTTTTCCTGCCTGTGTTCAGAGTTACGCAAGACAGAGACAGATGAGTCCGTCCTTTAGGTCAGAACAAAACATACACAGTACAAAACATACTATACAGATAAGGTCTGGTCTGCACCCTCTGGTTTCAGGAGGGAACTGAGGTTACCACTGCTTAAGACTAAGACTGTTACTGCACCAGGAAGGGGCTGGGGCAAGGGCAAGTAAAACTGCCATAAATCTGTTCTGTGATTTTGAAGATGGCTTTTTCTTGATCGGATGTCTTATTGTTGATGTAAACCTTTGTTTTCCAGGGCTCCTATGAAGTTGGTTCAGACAGCTTCTGTTTTTCAATGGTTTTGTAAGGGAACAAGAGCTTGGACCTTCTTAGTCCTCCATTTTGCTGATGTCACTCTCTCCTTTTATTTATGTACTTTTTATTTATATTTTTACTTTTTGATTTTAGAGAGAGAGAGGAAAGGAGAAAGAAAAAAAACATTGATTTGTTGTTTCACTTATTTATGCATTCATTGGTTGATTCTTGTATTTGCCCTGACCAGGGATTGAACCACAATCTTGGTATATCGGGACAACGCTCTAACCAACTGAGCTATGCAGCTAGGGGATCACTCTCTCCTTTTAAGTAAACTTTAGGCTATAGTGTTTTTAATTTTTTACAGGTTAACCAGAAGGGCTCAGAGAAGCCACTTGAACAGGCATTTGCAACTATGGTGTCCTCCTTGGCAAATGGAATGATCAGGTACTTTACCAGAAATCTGTTGCAGGTCTTTTTGTATACTTACACATATACACAAGTACATAGGTCTCACATGTTATATTTCATAGACACATATTTCAGCTTGGTTTGTTTTATTTAAAACATTTTTTTTTCCTTATTGATATATTAGAGAGACAGAGGAAGGGAGAGAGAGAGAGAGAGAGACGGAAACACCAATGCTAGAGAACATCGATTGGCTGCCTCCTGCATTCCCCCAACTGGGGATTGGGCTCATAACCTGGGCATGTGCCCTGACTGGGAATCGAACCGGCGACCTCTTCATGGGTTGATGCTCAACCACTGAGACATACAGGCCAGGAGGTTTTTAAAAATTTTAATACTAGATCAAAGCATGATTTTATTGGCTTAAAATTTTATCTGGCATAATTTCTATTGCAGAATAACTTGTTTTTTTTAAATTTTTTTTTTAGAGAGGAAGCGAGGGGGAGAGAGAGAGGAACATGGATGAGAGAGAACATTGATTGGCTGCCTCCTGCATGCCCCCCACTGTGGATCAGACCCATAACTTGGGCATGTATCCTGACTGGGAATTGAACTGGCGACCTCTTGGTGCATGAGTCGATGCTCAACCACTGAGCCACACCGGCCAGGTGTTTTTTTTTTTTTTTAATTTTGATACTAGATCAAAGCATGATTTTGTTGGCTTAAAATTTTATCTGGCATAATTTCTTTTGCAGAATAACTTCTTAATAGTTGCATTTTAATTTTAATTTTGCAAAGATTTAGTCCCTGATTAAAATCCCCTTCTTGAGGCTTTGCTTCACTATGGTTACTGGGTCACGAATTACAGTTTTTCATGATTGCTTTGCGTGTTCTCTGGGGTCCCATCCACCTCACGCGCGGGATTGTTCGGGCAGAGTGGCCTTGTCTGGTGAAGCAGCTCGGCCTCTCCTATAGTTACCAGACAACAGCTGCAAACCCTTTGCGCCTTGTCAGGGGTCCTGAGGCATCAGCGGTGGCCTGTGGAGAGGTGCACGGTAACGAGGCAGCCCAGTGGGGACTTTCTGCAGCAGGAACTGTGGCAGGAGGTGGGGCTGTACTCTGGTGGGAAGGAGTCACAGACACTGGGGGAAAACTTTCCAAAGCAATAGTACTGAGTTATTTGGGGAGATTTTTTTTTTTTTAATCCTCACCCAAGGATATTTTTCCATTTATCTTCAGATAGAGTGCGGGGGGGTGGGGCGACAAACATCGATGTGAGAGACACATTGATTGGTTGCCTCCTACATGACCCCAAGCCAGGACCAGGGACCGAACCACACCCGAGGCACATGCCTTTGACCTGAATCAAACCTGCAACTCTTTGTTCTGTGGGCTGGTGCTCTAACCATTGAGCAGACTGGCCAGGGCTGGGAATTTTTTTTTTTTTTAAAACAACTTACTTTCTTCTTTCTTTCATTTTAGAGAGAGAGAGAAACATCAGTTGGTTATCTTACATATGTCTCTACTAGGGATCAAACCCTCAACCTGGGTATGTGCTATGACCAGGAAGTGAACTTTCCACCTTTTAGTGTATAGGACAACACTGACCAACTGAGGCACACCAGCCAGGGCAAGGGAGAGTTTTTTAACCTATGGGAAAATTTAAATGTACACAAAGACGGAATCATATAATGAACCTTTGGGGAACAATTTGTCTGTTTTGTCTGGCTTAAAAGCTTTGGCAGATCCACCAGACCCCACCCATGCACGTTTCTGCCCTGTCACAGCAGAACCTGCCCAGACACACTTGGGAGGGCCCAGTGGGGGGCTGCTAACCAGATATGCCTCAGAACCCTCAGAGGAACTTAGAATTACCTCAGACTTGAAATGTAGAGTCTCTGGGTGTGGAGTCCAGCATGTATATTCTGGAAAGAGTTTGTGTGCTAGCTCCTGTGTACATCCCTGGTTAAGACCCTCTGCTCAGACAGTGTCCACAGGTGTGCCTGCCTCCAGGGTCACCTGAGCTTGTAGCAGCAGCTGACTTTGGGAATGTGAGGCATAGATCAGTCTAAAGTCACACCCTCGGTGCCCCACACACCCCAGAGCTGTTGTTACCTTTCTGCTGTGCGTGCTGAAGTCTCCGGACAGAGGAGCATGTTAAACAGTATATTAGAGCCCTGGCTGGTGTGACTTAGCGGTTAGAGCATCGGCCCCTGGACGCAAGGGTCGCGGGTTCAATTCCCAGCCCCTTTCAAGGTCATGTGGGAGTCAGTCAATTGATGTGTCTTTCACATGAACGTTTCTCTCTCTTTCTTCTTCCCTTCCACTCTATCTAAAAATCAATGGAAAATATCCTCGAGGGAGGATTAACAACAACAAAAAAATGTATTTGATAATTTTTTTACTTCATAAATATATATTCTGGCAGGAATAAAAGTGAACTCAAATGGTAGGTTTATTGTCATCTTTTAGATAGCTAATGGATATTCACTTTTAGCTTTAATTTACTGATTCACTTTTTAGTTTTTTAACCGTTGTCACTTTGAGGAAGGTAAGTAGATTGAGTTCATGGACTGGCGAATGGCCAGGAAGAGGAAAGTGGGTGCACTGCGGAGGGCGGTGGCTGGCACACGTTGGCCGTGGAAAGGCCTGGAGGCTGGAGGAGGAGGAGGGTGCGGGGTTTCTTCCCAGGAGGTAGCACTGCTGGGCCTTGTGCTCAGCAGTAAACTAACATGTTTAAAGTCATTTTATTAACAAAATCAAGCTACGTAATTCATTCTTAGAAGATATAAATGTGGTTTTAGAAGGATATAAGCTTAAGAGTCCAAATGCATGTGGGTGGCAGTGAACCACTTAAAGTCTTTAAGCAAGTCTAGAGCTATTACTTCTGGTCAGAGCACCCCAGAAATCATTGTCACTTTTATTGCAGCTGTCACTGAAAATGCTTCTACCACACTCCCGCGTCTTCCCAGTGTCAAACCTCGCAGTTGGCTAGCCTCTATTTTCGTACTAATTTTAGTTTTGTTTCTAACTTGCGATAGTTGAGATGGTAGGAGCCCCTCTCTTGACCTGCCCAGAAGCCCACATTCTGTTGGTGCCCCTTCAGGCTGTCGGAGCCCAGGGTGTCACATGAGAGCAGACACCTCTGAGTTTTACTCTTAGACAAGCATGATGTCCTTCCAGTCCTACCTGATGACTCGGCGTGGTCCCCGAGTGGGAAGTTGGCAGAAGTGGAGTAAGTGAGGACCTTTGTGTCTGGTGCTCAGGTCCTCTGTTCTTTCTTCCTCCCTTGACTTTCAGGAGTTGGTTCATGATTTTTTTCCCCTTTCAAGGGGCATATTTCAGCTCGTGGTAGGCCGTCTTCACTGTTCTTACCTGAGATGTGTGCCTCTTAAAAATCGGATAACTGAACATAACTCATTGCAGTTGGCAAACAAGGGAAGTCCTTCTACCACCTGTGTGTGATGTATAGATACTGGTGAAGTGGAATATTTTGTTAGTATGGTCAATAACTAGAGTGGGGGCCATCCTCCCTCTGTTCTTGTCACAACCCTTAGCACACATCATCCAACCCTCGTTGGACTGAAAGTTTGTCTATTTTGAACATTTTAATCAATTTGAAAGACAATAAAATAGGACCCTATTCTTTGCACATGGGGGTAGAAAATAAGTGTGTCAGATACTCAGGAGAGGGCTACTTTCCTCACACACCTGATTGCTGTACCTGCGCCCAGCCCTCCAGCATTGAGCTGGGCCTCTCCGGGCCCTGTCCGAGGGCCTCTGGGAGAACACGTGGAGGCAGCAGTGTGTGCACATTTCCTTCGGGAGGTAACGAGCATGAGGTGGGCGTGTGTGCAGCGGTGAACCCAGAACACTGGGTGCTGTGATGGAGAGAGGAGAGTCGGCTATGAACGTATCACTGATCGAAGGAACATGAATGATCATGGGTCTGTTTCGAATATCTTTTCTTTTGGTAGGTATGTTGCCTTTGACTTCCATAAGGAATGTAAACATATGAGATGGGATCGACTAAATATTTTATTGGATCGGGTAGCAGAAATGCAAGATGAATTAAGGTAAGCCGTCTTATTTCTCTGTGGAGGTCGTGGGAAGAGGTCTGTGTATATATTAACTATATTTATTCATTATCTATCAGACTTACACATACACTTTCCTGCATTGACAGCACCGTCTATACTATTTTTAGTTTTTTTAATTGAAAAGATGAGACTTCAAATTTAAAAATATTTTTAAATTCTTAATAATGACCTACAACTGGGTGTTTTTGTATTTTTAGGAATTATCTTCCACACGTTTACAACTTTTTATGTAATTGAAGTTAATTTACTACTGTTTTATATTTAGTTGTTTTCACTAAACATTCTGTTGCAGATCTGTGTCACTAGCCTTCCTAATCTTGTAAGGATAGTGTCCGATGGCATCTGTGTGTGCCACTGGGTCACGATACAGTTTCAGTTCAGTGTTCTCCTCCAGCTGAAGATCTGGTTTGCTTTCTTTTCTCTTCCCGCCGTGGAAGGCTGTGTTGCAGCGTAACACTCTGGGTATATATGGAGAGATGGATGGGTCAGAGGGTCTGCACATCCTTGTGGCACTTTCTTGTGTGCTAACCGTGTTACTTATTGTATTGTTCGAAGGTTTACTGTACTCTGTGCATAGGTCAATCTTCACTTCTTTTGAAGCCAGAACAGGAATCTAAACCATGTCAATTTGTCCTGCCTTAATCAATTAATTAGTATTATCTAGTATTCATGGTATGCTGTGTTCCATACACTCTGCTAAGCGTCTTATGTGCATCAGGCATTATCTCATTCACACTTTCGAGCACCCAGTAGTGGTGCTGTGACCTCCATTTTGTAGGTGAAAAACGTAGGCTCGGAGAGATTAGGTTAATTATTTAAAGTATCACAGTTGCCTAAGGAGCTAAGGCTGGCAAACCAGTTTCTTGCGATCAGAGTTCATGCTCTTTTCCTCCACATGTGTGCTGTCAAATTTTCAAGTGCACAGCATTATCTGAGCAAATTATTAATACTGCAGGACACACAGGAACTGGAGACCATGGTTGGCTCCATTGCAATGTCTGGGGGGTTAAGGGGAGAAAGGGAAACAGATTTTTCAAGTAATACCCTGTTATACCTTACAAATTTTGTACCGTTTGCTTGTATTACCCATTTTAAGAAAGGGTTTTAAAATGTTTTTAATGCACAGTATCCAACTCTTACGTCAGAGATTCTTACTCAGATGATCTCAAGGCCAACCATCTTCACTTTGAACAAACAGGATTCTGACCCAGGTAGTGCAGGGAACGCGCTTCAGACATGCTGACAGGGACAGAGGTGGGATAGTCTCGGCAGGGGAAGCCCTCTTCTGGCCTTAGGGAAGCACGCTGGTGTCTGTAGCAACCTTCATAATCGCCAGCTCAGTTCTTCACAGCTCGTGGGTGAAATGACGTGATGCCGCAGCTGTTTGTGGATGGGTGGTGGGGCGGGGGAAGGGTGGCTCTCTTGCCTCGGCCCTTCAGCTGTCTTTTCGGCCTGTGGCAATCAAACATCCCTGGCCATGCATTTCCTGCCTGACATTTAATTCACTGGTTTTAATAATGTTTCTGATCGGAGACCTGTGTTATAAGAGGTGTGTCCTCAGTAGATTTAACTGACTTTTATGAGAGTGTTTATACAAATGTGTTTTAGTTATTTTCTAGTAGACTCTACCGGCAAGGTGGTGACGAACCAGGAGGGCGTGTTCCGCAGTAACTGCATGGATTGTCTGGATAGGACCAACGTGATCCAGAGTCTGCTAGCTCGGCGCTCGCTCCAGGCCCAGCTGCAGGTGCACATTCCTTTGTTCTTTTATTACACAAGTGATCAAAAAGTAAACTGTCTTCAGAAACCAGTAACAAAACACTCGCATTACCCTCACCCTAATCCAACTCATTTTGTTTCCGTGTCTTCCATCCGTGGCTGTGGATTTTCTGTAACCACGGTCACTGTGTGCATGCACAAGTTCTAGTCTTGCTGTTTCCTTTAGCTCATGCATAATCACAGTTTTGTTTCAGAGTTGCATTCAGATGTACTATAATTTACTATGCCATTTAGGTTGCTACATTTTTGGCTTATAAATAACACTGCTGAGAGTATATCTATATATATTATTGTTAACTTGGATTATTTCTTTTGGGTTAATTCCTAGAAGTTCATTTACTGAGTTAAAGGGAATATATATATAGATTATTTTCCAAAAGGGTCATGCCAGTTTACACTGACATCAGCCAGCAGTAGGTAACCCATTTCACTGAACTCTTGCCAGCATTAGATATCTTTACTTAAAACTTTCTTTCTAAATAGTACAGAGTAGTACCTCGAGGTCGTTTTTTTGGTTTTTTTTTAAATCCTCACTCGCAGACATTTTTTCATATTTTGTTCCGATAGAGCAGGAGGGGAGAGAGAGAGAGAAACATCTACGTGAAAGGGACACATCAAGTGGCTGCCTCCTGCATGACCAACCAGGACTGGGGACAAACTGCAACTGAAGGATGTGCCCTTAGCAGGAACCGAACCCGAGTTTCTGGACCACAGGCCGACGCTCTAACCACTGAGCCAAGTCAGCCAGGGCCTTGAGGTCATTTTTTTTTTTTTTTGAGGGAGAGAGGGAGGGAGAGAGAGAGAGAGAGAAACATTGACGTGAAAGGGACACATCTAGTGGTCGCCACCCACACGACCCCAACCAGGGCCGGGGACAAACTGCAGCCGAGGTACATGCCCTTAGTGGGACCCGAACCCGGGGCTCTCTGGTCCGTGGGCCGACGCTCTAACCCCCGAGCGGCCAGGGCTCGAGGTCATTTTTATTTGCATCTCTTTTATTACTGACAAAGGATGTTGACTTCCAAGTAGGCGGCTTCTGACACAGCTTAGCTTCACCTTTGAGATTGCGCTGTCATGGAAAATAGATGTAAATATTTTCTTCTGTTTATGTTTGGAATTTTGTAGAGTCCCGCTTTCCAGATCACATTGGCATTTGTTGTGAGGGGCAAACACAGTCCATCCCAAGTGGTTTCCGCTGAAATAATCAGTGAGCGTTCCACTGTGTTCATGGCAGTTCTGTGGCGCCCCGGGAGGGCTGTGGAGGGAGGATGCTCCCTCAGGGTGAATTGTCCTTGAACCCTGAAGTAGCACGTGCCCAGGGCGTGGGTTCCCTGTTGGAGGCTCTCAGTTTTCCTGGTTTCTCTTGGACTATGTGCTTGTCAGTGTGTTGGGTTGACTCCAGAGTGGATTTTTAATAGCAACAATATTGGGAATGGTGTTTCCAAGGCTGATGAATAAAATCCTCTTTGACTAGGTTCTGTAAGCCATAGTGAGCTGTTTTTCATGCTAAATTTGGTTTTGTAAAGCCTGACTGATTTCAGAGACTCGGGTCAGAAGCCTCTAGCTCATCAGAGCTGGCTGGGTGGGCTCCAGTGGTGTCTTCCTGGTCGGTGAGGGCAGAGCTTCTACCCAGCCACGGCCACTGAGGTGGCTCCCGTGCCAAGGCCGAGTATGCACCGTGTGGAGACAGTGAGGACGGTGGTGCTCAGAGGGTTGAGGGTCCAGGACAAAGCCCGAGGCGGGGTCTAATCAGTGGTCAGTGAACCCAAAGGGGAGTCCGTGGGGTCCAGGATGCCCAGGAATCTGGAGATTGTGTGTGAGGGCTGTGTGCGCATGCCTTTCTCCCGGGGCCCCTGGCTAGGGGTGGGTTTGGGTGAGGAAGCCTGGGGTGGTGGCTGAGGGGGGCAGGGGAAGGCAGGGAAGGAGGAAGCCGGGGCTGGAGTCCTGCAGGTGCTTCCACTTCCCCTTTCCTCCCCTTCGCTCCTCTCCTGGGCAGTCCTGCCTGTTCCTGCGGTGCTGGGGCTCCTGGGCTTCTGGGTCCCCGGCACTGCTCTGCAGGGCGCGCTCCTCCCAGCAGCCGGCAGCCGGCAGCCAGGAAGCACGCGGCGCGATTGAGGAGCGGCTGCCTTTCTTCTGAGTCCTGGCCCGGAAACCTGCGTGTAAACGCGGCTCGTTCTCGTTTCAGAGACTGGGTGTTTTGCATGTGGGACAAAAGCTTGAAGAGCAAGATGAATTTGAGAAGATTTACAAAAATGGTAGGTGTTTTCTTTTCTAGAGGCAAAGTTACTCAAATTTTCAAATAAGTAATAGTTTAGATTTAGCACTCTGGTTGTCATTTTCATCATCATCAGCCGGTTTTTCCTTTTTCACACAGCCTGGGCTGACAATGCAAATGCTTGCGCCAAACAGTACGCGGGGACCGGTGCCTTGAAGACCGACTTCACCAGGCAAGTGTGCTCTGGCGGCCGTGGGCCCTTAGGACCTCCTGGCAGCCCCGCCGCGGAGCAGCCTCCAGTGCGCACTGGCGGCCGTGGGCCCTTAGGACCTCCTGGCAGCCCCGCCGCGGAGCAGCCTCCAGTGCGCACTGGCGGCCGTGGGCCCTTAGGACCTCCGGGCAGCTTCCACACACTCTCGGCAGCAAGGGCGAAATGGCAGCGCCGGGGCCTCGTTAGGCCGGTGGCCGGGCTCCCTGGGTGGTGCCGATGCACAGTGAGGGTTCCAAGCCGCAGCTCTGCGGTTCTCAGAGGTGCTGTGCACCTGAGCCACCTGTCAGGCTCAGCAGGTCTGGGGCAGGGCCTGAGATCCTGGCCTCTAAAAAGGCACCAGTGATTCCGATGCTGCTTGGGGCCCTACGGGATGGTGCGAGGTGTGCAGCCTCGGAATTTGTTACCGGTTGGGCCTTTCTGCCGTGTGGATCCCTGGGAGCAAAATGAGATTTCTTAGCCTTTTTACTCTCTCATACCATTTAACCTAGACTTTGTTTCTCTTCTTATTTCTGACCTTTGCAATGGGAACTGAATGTGTTTCCTCTTTGTGCCTACTTTGGTAGTGTTTTAGGAAGAGAATACGTATTTCTTGGACCCACTGGTGGGTTTTTTCAGAGGTATCTCCTTATAGTTTCAGGGTTGATTTTTTAAATCTTTGTGACTCCCTTATCTCCATATCGCGTACTTTTGGCCACTTTCTCTCACAATGTAAAACAGTGAGAGTTCAGTACACCATCATGTAACTCAAAACTTCTTCCATCCAGAACCGGGAAGAGAACTCAGCTGGGACTTTTCAAGGACGGCTGGAACTCACTCGTACGGTATTACAAGAACAACTTCTCGGACGGATTCAGACAGGTGAGTTTGTACGGGACGCTGATTGTTGGTCACGAATGGCTGTGCCTTTCACTGTTCCTCAGGAATGCGCTCACACCTGCCTTGGGAGTTAATTTTCTTCTTTCTGTTCTAGGACGCCATAGACTTGTTTCTTGGGAACTACTCGGTGGACGAACTAGAATCTCATAGTCCTTTAAGTGTTCCTCGGGATTTGAAATTCCTGGCTGTAAGAAATCTTTATGTTTCTCAGATTGTTCAAAGCATCGCATCTGAGGGCATAGTGGTGCCAGCTCCCCTTGGTTTCAGACGCTGTGTGTGGTTCTGAACAGAACGTAGACGGGCTGGTCGCCCTTCTCCCCAGGCGGGAACCGCGAGAAGTGGAAACGGGCATGTGTTCCCTTTCTGATTTCACTCTCTCCTCCTCTCACCGTGGGAACCGAGCGAAGGGGGTGGAGGCTTCTCATTTCAGGGGGATTCTAGTCCCTTACGTTCAGGATTGTCGGAGCAAACTCTTGTCTTGGACGGCGAAGCGCAGGCACGTGCCTCAGGGACGTTGAGGTTGGTTCCAGATACCGCAGTAAAGCGAGTGTTGCGATAAAGCGAATCGCATGAATTCTTTTGTTTCTCAGTGCATAAAAAATTTGCACTGTACTGTAGTCTCTTAAGTGGGCAGTAGCAATATGTCTAAAAAAAACACTTTATTGCTAAAAAATGTTAATCGTCATTGAGCCTGTAGGAAAAATGGCCCTGACAGACTTGTTTGCCACAGGGTTGCCACAAACCTTCCATTTGTTTAAAAAAAAAAGTCAGTGTCCACACAGCGCAATAAGATAAAGTGCAATAAAACAAGGGGTGCCTACATGTTTTTGGTACTTCTCTCCTTATTTGACTCCTTTTTTTTTTATCCTCACCTGAGGACATTTTTCTATTTTTCTATTTTTTGTTCAGGTAGAGTGGGAGGGAGAGAGAGGAAGAGAGAGAGAGAGAGAGAGAAACATCGATGTGAAGGGACACATCGAGTGGCTGCCACCCGCATGACCAACCAGGGCCGGGGACAAACTGCTACCGAAGTACATGCCCTTAGCGGGAACCGAACCCGGGTCTCTCCGGACCGCAGGCGGGCGCTCTAACCGCTGAGCCAAACTGGCCAGGGCTTGACTCCTCTTTTCACCAGACTTTGCAGGACCCTCTGGGGTCCCATCAAGTGGGCAGAGTGTCCTGGAGTGGGAGGGCCCAGGGTCCTGGGCCTGCACCTGGGCGGCCGCCTTCCACTTAGTACTTGGTTTGGAGCAAAGACAGGCTCTCAGATCTGATGGCTTAGCCATTCCGAAGGTTGGGGCGCTTGTGAGGCAACCGCAAACAGGGGTGTTTTGTTGAAGAAAGACGAGTGTAGGGTCGCGGAGAGGGTGGTTCCTTCTCAGGAAGGCGCGCACAGCTGGGTGCGCCGCGGTTCGCGTTCTTGCCGATGATCTCCGTTCTCTCTTCCAGTTGCCGATTATCATGGTCGTGGCCTTTTCGATGTGCATCATCTGTTTGCTTATGGCTGGTAAGTCTACTCACACTGCACACTCTCGCCTCACGTTTTAGAATGTTGACCTTCCTTGTACAGCGTCTTGAGTTTGCGTCTACTCAGCACTTGATGTTTCCCAGTTAATTTCAGTGCGTGAAGTGAGCAGATGAGTCTAGTCCTTGATGTGACTGGAGGAAAAATACTTACTCAGTAGCTTCACAGATATTTTTCCCTAAGATTTAAAACAATTTTTTTATTGATTTTTTTAAAATTTAATTAATTAATTTATTTTTGTTACAGATGTTTCTCTTTTTCCTCCACTGATACCCCCTACCCCCTCCGTCCCTGCCCCAGCTTTGTTGTCCATGTCCATTGTTCATGCGTACATGCATATAAGTTCTGTGGTTTATCTCTTCCTTCCCCCCACCCCCTCTTCTGGGGATTGTCAGTCTGTACCCCACTTCCATGTCTGTTTTTCATTGATTTTTAGAGTGGGGCGGGGGAGAGGAAGAGAGAGAGAGAGAGACATTGATTGCTTCTGCACACACCCTGACTAGAGCCAGGGGTTGAACCTGCAACCCAGGTACTTTCTGGGAATCGAACCCATGACCCTTCATTTGTGGGCTGACACTCTAACCACTGAGTTACACCCACCAGGGCTGATTTCTTTCTTTACAATACTGCCCAGCCCTGGCCGGCTTGGCTCAGTGGTTAGAGAGTCAGCCTGCAGACTGGAGAGTCCTGGGTTTGGTTCCCGCTAAGGGCACAACTCGGTGGTAGTTTGTCCCTGGCCCCGGTTGGGGTTGTGTGGGTGGCAACCACTCGATGTGCCTCTCTCACATCACGTTTCTCTCTCTCTCTCTCTTCTTCCCTCTCTCCCTCCTGCTCTATCTGCAGATAAATGCAAAAATGTCCTCAGGTGAGGATTAAGAGAAAACACTGCCCAGTAGTGTCATTTCCTGGGAGCCACTCCATTGTTAACTGTTTCGTTATTTTGATCTGTTGTGTTTTCTTTACTGTGGACTCTCAGTCCTCTGGAGAGCTCTCTGGAGTGGGAGGGGAGCCAGGACCAAGGACTCAGCCTGGACACGTGGCCGGTCCTTTCGGGAGTGTCCCGGGCGGGTGTGTGTGTGGAAGAGAGAGAGAAACGCCTTTCTCTGTCCAGGAAGAATTGTAAGACTCTGCTGTGAAAATGAGCCATCTCACAGGTTTTGATACGTGTTTAAGTAAAAAGAGATTAAATGCTGTGGATGCTAACACCTCATGTCAGTTGCTTGTTATAAAATAATGAGCTCGGCGATGTTCACATGATACTGTCTGATTTCTAGCCTCACTTCGGTTTTGAAGAGAACAGGACATCCGCGGCGTAGCAGCCCGGCGAGAGCATCCCCAGCTTGCTTCTCTCCCGCTGCTCTTGCTGGCGGCGGCCTCTGGGCTGCTCCCCGCGGGCCGGCCGGCTGCAGGGGACAGGTGGCCCTGGGCCTCTTCTCAGGGCTGAGGGCCACGTCCAGCTTTGGGCCTGAGAAACACATCAGGGGAGCTGTGTTCCTGCTATTAAAAGAGGTTATCAAGTTTTGTTTTAACTTTTTTCACCCGAGGACATTTTTGCATTTATCATCAGATAGAGTGGGAGAGAGAGAGGGAGGAAGAGAGAGAGAAACATCGACATGAGAGAGACACATCGAGTGGCTGCCACCTACCCAACCCCAACTGGGGCCGGGGACAAACTGCAACCGAGGTACGTGCCCTTAGCGGGAACCAAGCCCAGGTCTCTCTGGTCTGCAGGCCGACGCTCTAACCGCTGAGCAAAACCGGTCAAGGCTTGAGTTTAGTTTTAGACACTGGCCTTTAATACGTATCTTTTCTGACACAGGCATGTTTTGTAGGTATTATCGTGTCGGTATTCTGATAGCAGCTAGTGTCTCTCACAGATGGGACTGCGACCTGAACTGCTAGTAACGGTTTCTTGTAACACAAAAACATATAATCCAAGAGGAATTATTGTTTGTGTGATATAACTCGAAATAGTTTAGTCAGGTGTTCTCAAAGCGTGGCCCCTGGACCAGCAGCATCAGCATTATCTGGGAACTGGACAGACATGCAGATTCCTGGGCCGAATCGGAGCGTCAGGGTGGATCGAGCCCTGGAGAGGGTTCTGATGCCGGCCGGGGCTGTGGAGCTGCTGGTTTAAGCTCGAGTGAGAGGTTCTTGTGTTTTCCTGCAGGCGTGTCTGTGAATTTTCATGTCGGGATGTGCTGAATGGCTGAAAGTTGGCTCTGGTCTCACTAAATGCTTCTTCATCAACACTTTGTTTTTTCTGTCAACAGGTGACACCTGGACAGAAACACTGGCCTACGTGCTTTTCTGGGGAGTTGCCAGCGTGGGGACGTTTTTCATCATTCTTTACAATGGCAAAGATTTTGTTGATGCTCCCAGATTGGTCCAGAAAGAAAAGATAGACTGAGTTTGTGTCTGTGGAAAGCGGCTTGGCTTAGAAGATTCCATGATGCAGAACTGGAGTCTTTACTGACCCGCTTTCCACACGAGCCCGAGGCCCTCAACAGCCCTTCCCCGAGAGCACTGTGCTGGCGGGCTGACGGCGCAGGGTTGGTGTCTGCCCGATGCTCTGCCGTCGGCGCTGCTACGCTGTAATTGGAAGCTCCTGTAATCACATGTAGCCTGATTCAGCTCACACAACGGAAGGGGTCCGCTCATTGTCAGTTTAATCAGCTGTGGCCGAATACGTAATATATATCAAAATCTAGCTTCCTTCACTATTTAAACAGTCGGATTACTTTTCCAGCTCAGTTTCATTATTGTCGTCATGGAAGCAGCCACTGTTAGCAGCCACCTTCCCCCTCATCTTTGGACTTTCCTTAAAAGGAAAGTTTATAAAATGCTACGTTTATAAAATGTCAGTCTCTCCCACTCATCAAGGAGCTGGACAGCCCGGCCCTGGCTTCGCGGCGGCAGAGGAGGGTGGGCTGCCCGCCGCGGGGGACGGAAAGTTCAGGTACACGGGACCTTTCTGAAAGGAGTAAATGAAATTTTAGAAAGTCTGTCTTATGCTGATGGTCCAGAGCCACCCGGTTGAAAGGATCCCTTGGCTGCCCAGCTGCTTCCTCTCGGGCATTTCCGTTTCTTTGGGCCCCTCATGGGGACGCGGCCCCGGGCCCCCTGCTGGCCTGGCGGTGCGCAGCAGTCCCGCGTGTACTGCCCGCTGCTTTCCCGCCGCCTGCCGGGCTCCGTCAGCCATCAGTGAGCGTGTCTGACACATAGTGCTTCCAGGGAGTCGTAGTTCTCAATCAAGGACCAACTTAAACTTTGATTTGTGTAAAACATACCCCAAAAATAGGCTGTGGAAGCTGTGATGGGTCTGAGTCGGACTGTGTCCAGGTTGTAATTATGAGATTCGAATGGTGGGAAAGCGTGGGCGGTGCACCTGCGTGCGTGCGTGTGCCGCGCTGGCCGTGGAGCGTTTTCCTGAGGCTCTGAAGGCGCTTTTCCGCATTCCTTCTTCAGCATTATCTTTTATAAACATTAATACGAGGATTTGCTTTCTGAAACTCTGAAGGAAATAGTAGCTGGAAAACCTGTAGCTTAAAACCAGTCATTAAAACTCCCAATAGTGTAAGTAACTAGAACTACCTGTTCTTAACATGTAAATAAGCAGAATTTGTTCCAAAGACGAAGTATTGAAACTTAGCTCCTATCTACTGTAACCTATTACTCAAATGCGACTGGGCATTTCATGTTGAGAAGTTACTTCAACAACTAGACGACAGACCGAGCCTGACCTGGCGTGGCTGCTTCGCGTGAATGAACATGGTGTGGCCAGTCGCAAGGTGTTGATTCTTCAGAGCCCTGCAGTGATTGTATTTCTAAATTCCTGTATGAATATCCATAAGTGAGAATAAAATGTCATATTTTCTAACTACTGTTGGTGTCGTTCCTACACTTTGTCTTGAAAAGAATGTTCTTTTTTATTAGAATTTTTAAAATCTTGCAAAGCAGTGCACGGTCATTATAGAAAAATTAGACAACATACGGGAACAAGAAATTTAGTAGCTTCTGAAATCCTGCTCTCCAGCTATGATCACTTGAGAAATTGTGTTCATCCTCATAACTATTTCTTACAGATAAAACCAGGGAAATGTTAGTAAAGTATGTCCATAAAAAGATGTCCTCTCTTCCCCCACCTCCTGGTGCACAGGGCGACGTCAACCAACTGAGCCACACTGGCCAGGGCCAGATGGTGGCGCTCTGCCGTATTCTGTGGGTTAGAGCACCTAGTCACAGGCCCACCCGGGTGGAGGAGGAGGCACAGGCCCCTCAATGAGGAGGGTGGAGAAGACTGGCCACGGCTGAGCACAGGTTGGCTTTTTGTTTGTAGTTTGTAGGCTTTGGACCCCTGCCCGTGTATCCAGGTGCACGCCCCCCCCGCCCCCCGGGGTGAGGGCAGCGTTAAATGGCATCTCTGCTGGGGTTTCTCAAATGAGTGTCTAGACCAGACCCTTCCCAAAGCTCCGGGTTCTTATGTTCAGCTGCCTCCTGGCTGTTCACCTGGTTCAAGACATCTCAAACTTACGGGCAAGCAGAGCCCTTGGTTTATGTTCTGCAGACTAAATCCACTCCCCGTTGTCCCTGTCTCCGAAAATGCCCCAGCATCAACCCAGTGAGTCCTGTATGTTATTCTTCTCCCCTTGGCTATGCATCCAGTCCATAAGCACGTCTAGGCAACTGTCCTCCCCAAATACAACTCAAACCTGCCTTTCTCCCCATATCCATTTCCATCGTCTCCTGTGGACTTACTGATGGCGTTCCCGGAGTGACTCAATTTCCCCACCCACATCCCTCTAACCCCTCACAGCCACCGGTGACCCTCAGGTGTCCATCAGACCCACAGGCCCCGTGTTAGTAAACCCTGAGTGGCGTTCTGTTGCTCTGAATAAAATCCAAGCCCCTTGCTGTGGCCTATGCGGCCTGGCCCCTGCCACTCCTCCAAGCTCACCTCCACTCGCCCGCATCCCAGCCACAGGCCTCCTTTCTGCTCTCACCCCAGGGCCTTTGCACTTGCTGTGGCCTTTGCCCAGATGGGCCTTCCAGCAATCCAAACAACCAGTTCATTCTTCAAAACTCCACCACCTGGTGGAAGTGCTGCTCTCGCACACCTCACTAGGCCCTTGTTTCCTCTTTAGGGACAGGCACTGTCTGCAATAATCTCATTCATGATCTGCACTGTCTCTTCCTGCCCAGAATGTAAGTGCCACGAAGGCCAGGGACTGTCTGTCCTGTTCGGCACGTCCCCAGCGCCTGCCCAGGGTGATCTCAGTACAAGCGGACTGCGGGTGGGCGATAGAAAGAAAAGTGATTCACATGCCAGAAACCGGTCAAGAGATTGTGGTTCAGAATTTCAGCTTCGTAGGTGCACTTTTTGCCCTGCAAAGGGATGTTTATATCTGTTCCCCCGACACGCACACTGACTGATGTCGAGTGGAAAATGGGCGAGTTAGTTAATTCTCTGTCCCAGCTTTGCTGTCTGTGGTGGAACAGCCATGACTTTCCTTTTCCATGTAAAGTAACTCATACAAAAATCCAATACAGCCCTGGCCAGGTGGCTCGGTTGGAGCGTCGTCCTGTGCACCAAAATGTTTCAGGTTTGACTCCCAGTCAGGGCACATACCTAGGTTGCGGGTTCTATCCCCAGTTGGGGCACATGCGGGAGGCCACCGATTGATGTTTCTTTCTCACTCACGTCAGTGTTTCTCTTCCCCTTCCTCTCTCTCAAATCAATGTAAACATATCTTCAGTGAGGATTTTATTATCTTAAATTTTTTTTTTCTTTATTGATTTTACAGAGAAAGGAAGGGGGGGGGGGAGACAGGCACACCCACGAGAGAGAACATCGATTGGCCGCCTCCTGCATGCCCCGCACTGGGGATCGGGCCCACAGCCTGGGCGTGCGCCCTGACCGGGAATCGAACCGGGGACCTCTTGGTGCAGGGTCGATGCTCAACCACTGAGCCACACCGGCCTCACCAGGTGAGGATTTTTTTAAAATACAGTAGGAGACACACTCCCCCTGCCAGGCAGAGCTCTAAGGTCACACACTAACCTGCTGTGTTTTCGCATGACCTTGGCCAAAGGTGCCCAGATGGGCAGACCGCCCAGGACACCTCTCGAAGGGGTTGGGGTGCAGCAGCTCAGAGGAGCTCATTCTATCTTAAATCCAGACAGTTAGAAATACTTGGCTACTAATTTTCCTTATGAAGCCTAACCTTCATCTTCGTGGGGTTCACTGGTTCCCCGAGAGGCGCACACGAGAAGGTGGGGAAGAAGGGGGGTGGCTTCTTCTCCACGTCCCATGTTTCCAGTTAGCTGGTGCGGTCACAGGAGGGGCGGTGCTGTGTCAGTCTCTAAACTGAAGCCGGCAGAGGGCAAAAGCGCCATCGCTCTTCTTGTTCGGGGTTTTATCTATGACGACAATCGCTAAACACCAAATACTTCCGCCCGACTCCTGAGAGCCGAGGGGGGTGCTTAGGGTTCCAGCATAAACGGACAGCTCGGCAGAGGGGGTGGTCTGGCCACATCACCGTGGCTGCTGCTCGTGCACAGGGACGCGAAGTCCCCTTCCTCTCCCGCTTACTGCAGAGGGCACCCATGTCAAGGCGACCGCTTTTGTGACGTGCCCAGAAAGGAGCCTACCCAGTGTTTGTCGAGAGCAGTCTCGCTGCTACCTCCAGAGAATCAGTGGACACGCTCTGCTCTCCGTGGAGTTGGCAGAGCGACTGAAACCACCGAGCGAGACGGCGTTGCCGGGGTCTCTCTTCTGGCTCCTGTGAGCAAAATTATTCTGAAGTGACATTTCTGTACAACTGGACATGCTCACAAGTTCTTTCAACCTGTTAAAGGTCCTTCTGGTGTAAATGTTCCTAAAAGTAGGACACGTTTTCCGTTTTTCTGTTAACATTTTTGTTTTACGTTAGCCCCAGCCAGGGGCCTGCCCTAGGTATGTGCTCAGCCAGGAACTGAGCCCTCCAGGCTTCAGCCTTTGGGACGATGCTCCAGCCAACGGAGCTGCACCGGCCAGGCCGTTTCCCTTCCTGAAATGGGGTGCTGGTTCCCAGACTTGGCTGGTTCTGGGGGCACGGTTTGGGCATCGGGGCATTACATGCTTCCAGGCGGTTCAGATGGGCAGCCGGCCGAGACACAGTCACTGTGGATGGAGTGACGGTCCAGGACCTCTGTCTCTACACTATTGGGGACACCTGGCATTTGGCACCTGGTGATGCCTGACCCCAGGAGGGGTGGCCCCCCTGCGAGGCAGTGACCATGACTCGGGCTGAGGGTGGGGCTGAGTGTGGGGCTGAGGGTGTTGCCACTGGGTGTGCTCGCTCCTGGGGCCTCGATACCCGAGGTTTCTCAGCACAGAAACCCTCTGGTGAGAACTCAGAGGACTGACTATTTGGGGTGAATAAATGCTGCTTCATCCATTTGAAAGGCAAGTGATTTTTTTATGACCGGCCGTCAGGTGGGGCTGGAAAGTTGGCGAGATGGCCATGCGAGGCCGCGGGACAGGTGGCGTGGGAAGCGCGTGTGAAACAGACTCCAGCTGATGTCCCAAGCGCGGGTCCCCAAAGGGTCTGTGCAAATGGACCCACAGGAACGACCCTGGATTCCCGGCCCGGCGATAGCAGGCTGTGTGAGCAGGAAGGGACCGCTCACGTTAGGGGCGACTCCGCCTACCACGCAGTAAAGAGGGCAGGAGACACGCGTGGGGACGGAAGCTACGTCATAACGGTGTCCTCGGTTACAGGACGCTCGGAGTGACGCACTCAGGAAACGAACGTACAGGTAAATGATCACAAGGGGCTGTGAGCGGTGCTCCTGGTCTCCCCTACCGAGCGCTGGCCGGGGTGCCCGCTGCAGCGGGGGCCACAGGAGGCGAGGCGCGCCCCCTCGCTGCGGCTCTGGCACCTTGTCTAACGCGCTAAGACATGGGGGTGTCTGTGGGGCCCCCTCACACGACCGTGCCAGCGGTGGTCTGGGTTGCACACTGTAGTGGGGCGATTTCTGCAGAGAGGGCCGGCCCTGGACCTACTGGGGGAGACCTGGAGTTAGAGAGGTGCCCCCTCTGCGGTCCCCACCGAAGGCCTCCCTCGGGCGTCACTCCTGTCGTGAAGGGGCGCAGCACTGCTCCCTCCGTCCCCACCGTGACACTCGGGTGTGTCCTCTGGGGCCCTTACAACGGATCGGAATCTGGTGACCCTCTGATATGTTGGAATCTCTTTAGAAAAAAAAGCTTAAATTTTATTCCATAAAAAATTATAGTCGAATTTCAGCTCAGCGTGCGCTAATCCCAGGACTTCCCTAGAATCAGGAGAAGCCACTGTCGGTGGGAGTCTGGCCCTGGAAACCGCCGTGGGCAGGGAGGCAGCCGGGGCCTGGGGAGGCGGGCCCTCCGCTCGCTGGTCCTCTGGCCCCGGGGAGATGAGGCTTCTGGAGTCAGTACTTGCAAAGCAGCCGCGGAGGTTCCACTTTATCTAGTGGCTGGGAAACGGGGCCACCGGTGGCGGCCTCGGGAGGCCTGGGTCTCAGGCCACGGGGGCTGTGTCTCCCCTCTGGAGGCGGCGCAGGACGAACGTCCCCAGGGCCACCAGGGGGATGCACATGGTGGAGGCGGCCACCAGCAGCCCGATGGCAGCCAGGGCGTACGCGGGGTAGTCCTTGGTCACAAGCTGGCCCTGAGGAGAGAAGCTGGGCGTCAGCAGAAGGGACCCCCGCAGCCCAGTGTGGGCTGAGTCCCCCGGAGCCGCTCCCTGGGCCGGCGGCCTGCCCTCCAGGCTCGCTGGGCCCTTCCCAGGGGGGCCCAGGGGCCTTCGGGGCGGCGTTCTCGGCTCCCGGAGAAGCGCGGGCAGCTGGCGGGTTGCACCCCGTTCCTGCAGCGCACCGGGGAGCGCTCTGAACTACCTGGGTGCCGTGTCCCCGTGCCCCCCCCCCCCCCCCCCCCCCCCCGTGCCGGGTCACCTGCCCATGCCGTGGCAGAAGTCCCCTGGGTTCAGAAAACTACGCCGCGCTCTCCAGGGAGCGGGGCCTGGACGGCAGGTACCTGGGAGGCGTCCCACGCTTGGTACTGCAGGGTCCCCGTGAGGATGTAGTCGCTCAGGTAGAAGAACAGGAGGCTGACTATGAGCAGCGGGCTCACGCCGGCCCACATGATCTTCCAATACCAGTTCAGAGTGCGGCCGGTCGTGGCCTGAAGGTCACTTTCAAATCTGTTTGGACAGCGGGAGAGAGTCTGGATTACCCACGCTTCTGGGCGAGGGGGTTCCAGCTTGTACACCCCTGTTCCCTTAGGGGGTTTCTATTCTGGCTCCATTGAGTGTGAACACGACCACTGGCCTCTCTCTGACTCCTGGGGACGGGGGCGTTGGGTCAGGGGAGGGGAGAAGGGCTGAGGCCACCACAGGGGCAAAGCGACCACCCCACAGAGAAGCAGATGACAGACCTCTTCCCGGTGTGGATGGAGGCTGCTGGTGTGGACCAGAGGGCAGCTCCCAGCAACGGCAGGAACAGATAGCACGGGACATCGGTCCAGCCAGCCTCGAGGCCAGGGGACCCCCGAGGGCAGCTGTGCCCCGCCCCTCCCGCCCTGGTGCCTGCCAGTGACTCTGCTGCCCATTAGAAACACCCCCGAGAGGACGCTCTGTGTCCTCTGAAAGCGCAGCAGGTATTCTGGGACAGGTGGACAGGCAGCCAGACCTGGGATGAAAGTCTGGTGGCCGGGCGGGGGGAGCCGCCCGGGGGGAGCTGCCCACAGACCCCCCTGTGCTGTCATGCCTGCAGACCGTCCTTCCTTGGCTTAAATGGATTCGTTTGCCCAAGGTTAGCAATAGCGTAACAGCGTCCGTTCCATGTGGGTTGCTAGGCTAATCTGTATTTTGGAATATGCACACAGATAAGTAGGGGCAGTCTTCAGCCATCCCCTCATTTCACAGGGAAGGTGCCAGGGCTGGGACTGACCTGCTGGGGGGCCCCGGGTGCGGTGGGCCGGTCCAGGGCGTAAGGAAGGGTGGGGGTGGGGTGAGACTGTCACCAGCTGCAACCACAGCCACCTGCCTGCCTCACTGGGACCCCAGGCCTGTCCGGAGTTCCCCCATGAGCCTGAAGAGGCCTCTGCCTGCCCCATGCTGCCGCTGACCTAGCGGGACCCTAGGCTCTAGGCCACTAAGACTCATGTGACCCCCTGAATTTTCAAGACCACACGTGGCAGAAAGTGTTGGGTTCTCTTGTCCCTTCACCCTCCCCGCCCTCCACCTAGCTGGATAGAGGGGCGGACAGAGCAGCTGCAGGGAAAAAAGGCCACACGGCACTGTTGCAAAGTGGCCACTAGATGGCACTGTCGCCTGCGCAAGCAGAAAGACTGCCCTCTGCTGGTCATTCCCAAATCTGGCTGTTTAGCAAATCGCCAGGGCACCTTTGGTTTCTCCCGCCATCCCAGCACCTGCCAGCACCCGCTTTGGATGGACGTGCGCCCCTCTCCAGCGCCTCCAGTGGGCCCTCAGTTCTGTTCCTCTGTCCCAGCCTTCTCTCTACCCTGAAACACCCACCCGCTGAAAGGACATTTTCTAGGTGACCAGTGTGCCTAGTTTTCCCGGGACTCCCCTGGGTTTATCACGAAGCCCCAACATCCCAGGAACCCTTCTTCCCAGGAACGGGGTGAGTGGTCCTGGATGTCACCAGCTGCAGGGGAGGAGTGTGGGCGGATAGGAGGGCATTCCGGGGCCACAAGAGTGTGGAAATACTGAAAATTGCAACCCCCCTTAGAGATTCACAATTGTCCTCAAGGGTCTGAGAGGTCCTATGGCAAAGAAATTTGGCTTTAACTTGTGTCCTGAAATGATCACGGAATCCCTGAGTGGCTTCCAAGGGCACAGGGGGAAGCGGCACAGGGGCCTGGCTCCTGGAATGTCCCAGCTGGACCCCGACGCGCCTCCAGGTCGGTTTGGAAGATCATAAAAGACGTGTGACCGGCTCAGTGCAGCCCTTGTGGTCAGGCTCACATTTGAGCTGCGGACCCCTGACCCCGGACGTGGTGACGTGGGATCCGTGTCCCGGCGTTGGGGGCCTGGGGCCCTGCGCTCTAACCAGCTCTCTGAGGCTGCTACCATTTGGGGCGGCTCTGAGCGTCCTCCCGGCTCACCTGGAGTCTGAGCCCGCCTGGGCCTGCCTACTCCATGCCCTGGGTGAAGCTGGGGGTCAGTGAGAACCGCCCGGGGCTCCCGCAGCACCCCAGGTCTGAGAGCTGCTCTGGCCCGGTTCTCCCCAGCTCCGGAGACCTCAGCGCACCAGGGCTCAGAGCCGCACAGCCCGAGCCGCCGGACGCCTGAGTCTGCGTTAGCGGCTGGACTTTGGTCAGCGAACTTGAAACATGCGGGTGTTGGCCAAGGGTCAGAGGGGCTCGTGCCCGGAGGCAGGCTGCCTGCCCCTGGAGCTGTAGGGGTTCAGCAGGCCAGCAGGCCCATCGCCTGTGACAGCAAGTCACAGCACAGGCTGAAGGCAGGAGGGGAGCGAGGCAGCGCACTGGCGGGATACGGGCGGATGGAAGGCCCGACAAGGCCGCGCCTGCCGAAGGGGCCCGCTCACCTCCTCAGCCCGTACACGTAGCACACGGCCACCGTCTCCACCAGGACGATGAGCAGCAGGGACAGCGTGGCCGCGTAGTCGTTGAAGATGTCGAACCAGTAGTTGCCGGCCTCCATGGTGAACACCATGCCGATGGCGCAGCTGATGAGGCACAGCAGACCTGGGGCCACAGGACCACCCGCTCACCTCCTGAGACCCGCCTGCTCCCCAGCTGTCGGGGGGCAGCGGGCCGTGCACGCCGGGGGACGCTGGCTGACGGGCTCGTCCACGTGGGGTGGAAGAGCTGTCATGGTCTGGCCTCTCGGGACGCGCACACGTGTGTGTGTGTGTGTGTGTGTGTGTGTGTGTGTGTGTTGGGGTGGGGGAGGGTATCCCAAGGGAGTGTCAGCCGGCATCACTGATGTTAATTCACAGAGATGTCCTGCAGGGGGCACCAGCTCGAAGGACAGGAGACTGGTGTGGGCGTCCCTGTCAGGGGACCTCGCCCAGGCGTCTAGTGATAGTTTATCCCAACAACTCAGTCCCTGAGCTCATGGGCGTGAGCTGGGCAGGCTGTGAGCCCGGGCGACCCTCTCGGGACCTCCCAGCTCTCACCTGGCCAGCAGGGGTGGGGAGGAGAAGGAAGAGCCCGTTGTTCATGCAGCTCCCACCCCGCCCCCGGGGGCTGGCCATGCTGTGAGCACTTAAGCCTCTGAGGCAGGTTCAGGAGCCCCTTGTACAGATGGGGAGGCCAGGGCTCAGAGAGGTTGAGTAACTTCCCCAGTGTCCCAAGTGAATGACCGAGTCAGGATTCAGACCCAGGCCCCTCTGCCTCCGGAATCGGGGTTCTTGTCCCAGCCCCCCTTGGCTGCCGGTCTTGGGCACCCCATGAAGCACTCGACTCTAAAGCTCCCACCTGCCCTCTGCCCTGCGACACCCTTGGCCGCCGGCCTCCGAGCCCATCCTGAGGGCACGCGGGAGCATGGGTTAGTGTGGCCGGCGGCCAAGGGTGACAGAATGTGGCTGCAGGTGACGGGGGCTGCCATGGCGGGAGGGCGCTGACGAGGGTGGGCAGCTCCTCCTGAGCGAGCAGGCTTCCAGGACGAGGCATGGGGGCTGGGGGGTCGGGGCGGGAGGAGGGGCCTCGAGGATGTGGAGGGACGTGTCAAGGGCTGGGGTGGCGCAGATGGGTGGTGGATTGATTGGAAAAGCAGGTTCTTCCCTAACAGCCTGTTGTCCACCAACAGCAGGGCGGTGGCGAACGGTAGCACCTGCTCTTACTCGACTGTCCCATGGCCGGAGGGACAGGTGACTGCTAGTTGCAACGATGTGGGGGGTCTCCCAGTGGGAGTGAGGACAGCCCACACCGGGCGCACACGTGTGAGTTACTGGTGTGAGGTCCAGGGAGGGGAACAAGCAGCAGTGAGAACTGAGGGGCCTCTGGGGGGCTCTGGGGTGGGGGCCGCGCCCTGTGTCTGCACCTCTGGGGGCTCTGGGGTGGGGGCAGCGCCCTGTGTCTGCACCTCTGGGGGGCTCTGGGGTAGGGGCAGTGCCCTATGTCTGCACCTCTGGGGGGCTCTGGGGTAGGGGCAGTGCCCTGTGTCTGCACCTCTGGGGGCTCTGGGGTGGGGGCAGCGCCCTGTGTCTGTACCTCTGGGGGGCTCTGGAGTGGGCACAGCGCCCTGTGTCTGCATCTCTGGGGGGCTCTGGGGTGGGCGCAGCGCCCTGTGTCTGCACCTCGGGGGGTCTCTGGGGTGGGGGCAGCACCCTGTGTCTGGACTCTGGGGGGGCTCTGGGGTGGGGGCAGTGCCCTGTATCTGGACTCTGGGGGGGCTCTGGGGTGGGGGCAGTGCCCTGTGTCTGGACTCTGGGGGGGCTCTGGGGTGGGCGCAGTGCCCTGTGTCTGGACTTGGGGGGCTCTGGGGTGGGCGCAGCGCCCTGTGTCTGCACCTCGGTGCTGGTTCCTCGGGTGGACACGTGTGTAGAGCTCACTGAGTCTATGCCAGAGGAACATACACGCTATGATGGTTATACCTCAGTTAAACAAAGAAAAAGCAGCTTCTGTCCTAGCCTGGAGGGCTGGGTGCCAGGTTGGGGAGCTGGGCCTTTTCCCAAAGTCGGGGTGGCTACTCCCCGTGCCCCAGGTCCCGCTGCCCAAGGTGAGGGCAGGACCACGGTGAGGCTGCTGCAACCCTGCGGCCACCCCAAGAGTCACAGGGCCCCTGAGTGGTCCCTCCACCTGCTGTCCCTCACCTCCCGCTGCCTGAGCCCCGCCCCCTCCCGGTGCGCCCGCTCACCTGAGATGGCCTCCTTGGGCAGGCGGCTGGAGACGACCTTGCTGTCGGTCAGAGGGGTGAGGATGGCGGCCGTGTTGCCCAGCATGCTCCCGATGCCCAGCATCAGCAGCATGAAGAAGTACAGCACGGACCACAGCTGGGACACCTCCATGTTCTTAATGGCCTCGGTGTAGACGATGAAAGCCAGGCCGGTGCCCTGGACGGCCTGCCCATGGCGAGAAGGCCGAAGTCACCCCCTGGGACTCACAGCTCCTGAGACACCCTGATGCTAAGCAATACTGAGGTCTCTGTCCTGCCCCAACTCATACGTTCTGGATAACAGACCACAAAACAACGTTCGGATGATCTCTGCTCCCGACACCACGACAGAGCGGAGCCTGAGGCCCAGGGGCCGGGAGCCGAGGTGGACGTTGGGGAGGGGGGCCTGGCCAGCAGGCAGCCAGGGGGGCGGGGGGCTCCGTGGGCGGATCCCTGCAGTGATCACACCACTTCGAGAAGACTGAGCTGTGGAAACTGAACCTGGAACTCTTGCTTAAAGACGCCCCCGGGGGGTTGAAAGGGGTCAAGGTTGGGGTGTCCCAGAATCAAATCAGAAGCAGACCCTGTCTGGGGGCAGGTCCCAGTCAGCACCCCAAGACCACCGGAGACAACCACGCAGGGCACTTTCAGAAATTTCCAAGCCCACGAGGAGACGTGGCCCTGTGACTGCAGAGTCCGCAGGAATGAGAACTGGGTTTAGGGACCCCCCCCCCAGGAGTGACAACATTGGGCGTGAGACTCAGAACACAAACCGCTTGATGGCGTCCCGGTGGGACAGTGGGATGGTCAGGCCTGGGGCAGAAGCAAGGTGTCCCACTATGGGGAAGGTGCCGACACCAAAACCTACCAGAGTCGCCATGCTCATTTTATCATCATCATCATCATTATTCTCCGACTATTTTCAGCGATACCTGCTTTCTGCCTGTGGCCACCTCACAGTAGGATGTAAAGAAAAAGGAGCTAAACTTCCAGAGATAAACACATAACTAGAAACTATTGGAATAAAAAGCAAATTTGAAAAAAAATAGTGTCTAGAAAACGTATTGAGAGGCTCGGTGGACAGTTAAGTAAACACTGCCTGCGGCTGCGGAGACAGTGAGTGGACCGCGCCTCTGCCCACAACGCGCCCAAGTGCGGTCAAGACGGACTTCACCTGAGCCTTTGTTAACTGCACACGGACATCTTTCAAGAAGAGAAATGAAAATATGGTGTTTCCTCAAAAAATTAAAAATGGAACTGCCATTTGACCCAGTGATCCCGCTTCTAGGAATATACCCTAAGAAGCCTGAAACACCAATCAGGAAGAATATATGTACCCCCATGTTCATAGCAGCACTATTTACAATAGCTAAGATCTGGAAACAGCCCAAGTGTCCATCAGTAGACGAATGGATAAAACAGCTGTGGTACATATACACAATGGAGTACTATGCAGCTGTAAGAAAGAAAGATCTCTTACCCTTTGAGACAACATGGAGGGACCTGGAGAGTATTATCCTGAGTGAAACAAGCCAGTCAGAGAAAGACAAGTACCACATGATCTCACTTATTTGTGGAGCATAATGAACAAAATAAGCTGTCAACCAAAGAGATCCAGAGACATAAAAGTAAGGAACAAACTGACAAACCACAGAGGGGTGGGGGGTGGGGGTGGGGGGGGGTGGGAGGAGATAGACCAGAGAACTTACATGCATATCGGCACAACCAATCAACACGGAGGCTAGGCTGGGGAAGGTGGGGGGTGGGGTGGGGGGGGTGAAGGGGGAGGAGATCGACCAGAGAACATACATGCATATCGGCACAACCAATCAACACGGAGGCTAGGCTGGGGAAGGCAGGAGGGGGGTGGGAGTGGGAGGGGTCAACGGGGAAAAAGGAGACATCTGTAATACTTTCAACAATTAAAAAAAGAAAACGAAAAGGCTGGAAAAGAAGAGAAAAGAAGTGGAGTACACACATTCCAAATAGCAGACAACAACGTGGAATGAGGACAAAACACAATCGGGGAAAGCTCTAAATAAATCAATAACCACATGATTCTTGGACATTGAGCCAAGCTCACAAGTGAGCGAGGAAGACTCCTCGGTGCCAAGAACAAAGAAGAAACTGGAACCTGAACAGGGGCCCTGTGAATGGGGCCCTAAAGGCTGCGGCTGGGGACCGGGGTCTGACGCCTGTCTGGGGACGGAGGGTCCTGCCAAGGCCCGAGTCAGCAGGCGGCCAAAGCTGGGTTTCATCCACGACATGACCTACAAGGGCTCCACCCATGAAACAAAGTGACAAAAACACTCCAAGGCAGCTGCTGGCGACCAGAGCGGGGCCTTCACCAGCCTCTATCCTTGTTACGTCTTCTCTGGAGACACGCTCCAGGAGGATTACGTACAGCTAGGCGGCGCGCATGCCCACTCTCACTTCTGAAGTCCCAGCGAACACCACGGGAAAGGCAGGAGGCGTGTGAGGGTGGGAGAGAAAGATGCAAGCCGGTGGCATGGGGTTTGCATGAAAAACCGAGCGAATTAAACAAATACCAGAACCAGTGAGAGAATTCATCCAGGTTGCTAGATACAAGATCAACATACAAAAGAAGCCTTCAGTTCACTTTGCAACAAAAATAAACAACAAATGAAAGAGGAAAGGAAGCCACCCAGATAAAAAGCTAATAAAAGATGTGCCGAGATGTTTAAGGAAAAAATTAGTTGAAGACTATAAAAGAAAACCCGAGGACACAATGAGATCATTCATGTTCCTGAGTCAAAAGTCACAAAAGAGCCCTGAATCAAAAAAATATTTAATTCTCCAGAATTTACATTTTAAAAAATTATGCAATTTTAATAAAAAGACTTAAAGGAACATTTTCCCTCCAGGGAACGTGTGGAATTCATCCTAAAATTAATGGGAGAAAATAAAGAACCCAGCAGAGTAAAGATGATTTTGTAAAATATAAAGAAGACTGTTTTTAGTAGCAATCGTTTTAAAGCCAAATGTCTACTAGTGAGGAAAGAGATAAAGGAATTGTGATATGTTTGTATGGCGAAATAAAATGCAGCATTTAAAATGAATTAGGAGCCCTGGCTGGTTTGGCTCAGCGGTAGAGTGCTGGCCCTTGGACCAAAGAGTTGCGGGTTCGATTCTGATCAAGGGCTCGGTCCCCGGCCCTGGTCAGGGTCGTGCAGGAGGCAGCCAATGGCTGTGTCTGTCTCACATCGATGTTTCTGTCTCTCTTTCTGTCTCTCTCTGCCTCCCTCTCCCACGCTGTCTGAAGATAAAATGAAAAAATTACCTTGGGTGAGGATTAAAAAAAAAAAAAAGAATTACGAGATTCCACACGTGTTATTATGGACAGAGCTCAAAAACAGAATGCTGACTGAGAACGCTGTCTCCTAGGACCACGTATTTCCATGTAAACAAACAACAGGACTTAGGAACACGTAGGTAATAAAAACGCCCCAATGAAGGTCTTGCCTCTGCTGGGCAGGGCAAGTTCAGGGCAGTAACAGGGGCTTGAACTTAGTCTCTGAAAGGTTCTTTTCTGTCACATTAAAAAGCCAGTCTGAGCCCCAGATGACAAATGTTTACAGTTGTTCATTCAGGGTGGTAGATATATGGGCTTATTATGTTACTCTTGGTACTTTCCTGTCTTTCAAACATGTCAAAGGAGACAAGGGAGAGGGAGAAGGGCACAGAGGACCAGTGTGCAGTGACGGTGTCCCATGCGGCAGCCAGGGGACGGCAGCCAGGAGAGAATTCTGTCCCTGAGACCCGGCCGGCGCCTTACCGTGTCCAGCTCCGCTTCCAAGCTGCAGTTCTTGATGTGCGGGAGCACCTCGCTGTACCGGCCGGGGTAGGTGGCCGCCAGGTAGCCCTTCACCTGCTCCAGGTTGCTGGCTGTCAGAAAGCCATCTTCCAAGTCGAAAGAGTTGGTCAGCAGCAGAATCACCCTGCAGAGCATCAGATTGACCTCCACTGATTAGAAAGGTCCCTGGCGCCAAACCTCCTGGAAGTTTGGGCCCCGCGTTGTCCGCCCGCCGCTTCCTTCTGGTTAGGCGAGGGCTTCAACCAGAGAAATCTGCTGATTGGGACCATTTTTAAAAAATCCTCACTCAAGAATATTTTTTCATTTATCTTCAGATAGAGTGGGAGGGAGGGAGGGAGAGAAACATCGACGTCAGACACACATCGACTGGCTGCCTCCCGCACGACCCTGACCAGGGCCGGGGACGAACCACAACCCTGGTAGGTGCCCTTGACCGGAATCGAACCCGCGGCTCTTTGGTCCACAGGCCAACACTCTAACTGCTGAGCCAAACCGGCCAGGCCTGATTGGGACCTTTTACATGGCAAGGTATTTTGAATGACTTTGAAGAAGCCTCAAATAGGAACAGTGATGGAAAGAGGAACCGACCCACACAGCTGGCTACCTGTGGGCCAGCTGTGCCCGACAGGACTTCCGTGATGATGGACACGTTCCACACCAGGGCCACCCAATGTGGCGCCCATGAGCCACAACATCGAAATTAAATCACATGAACATTTACATTCAGATTTGTAAATAGCCCTTGTGTCCCCTCTGGGTGTTTCTCGTATTTGGTAGGTTACAGAAAGCCGATTCCGTAGCCTCCAGGGCTCTGCTAGACAGCTCGTGGTGGTTCCTGAGGCGGAGAGATGGGGCACAGAGAGGGGGGCTCACCTGCTGACTGCCCTGTTGTGCCCCGTGCTTGGCATAGGAGACTGCCCCCCCCCCCCCCCCACTGCAGGCACACTCTGACTTGGCACAGCCTTTCGTGGTGGAGGCCAGAGCCTGAACTTGAACCCTGGGTTCAGGACTGCAAGGCCGCTGCCTTTGCCCCGTGCCCCTCGGCACCTTGGCGTCCACCTCTTCCCAGGTGCCCTGTCAGCTCGGAGCTTTGGAGACGTGTCTCGCCCCCCAGGCCTGGGGCTCCTGGGCGGCCTGGGCTTACTTGTTCAAGCAGCTCTCGTAGTTGAAGGTGGCCTTGAAGCCATAGATAGAGAAGGTGACGACGCTGGCGAAGATGGAGGTGAAGCTGTTGATGAGCGACACGATGACCGCGTGCTTCTGACAGTTGCTGGAGGGCTCGTTGTAGCTGGCGAAGGCGATCAGGCTGCCGAAGCCCAGGCCGAGCGAGAAGAAGATCTGGGTGGCCGCGTTGATCCAGGCCTTGGGGTTGGCCAGCTGCTCCATCTGGGAAGCCAGCAGGGGTAGGGCTGATGACGCCCGGGTGGGACCCCAGACTCTCCGACCAGGGCCGGGAGGGAGGGGCCCGCGAGGCGGAGGACCCTGCCTGCAGCACACGGCCAGACACAGGCAGGCCTGGGGCTGGAACCCAGCTTCCTGGCCTCCGGCCGCTGCCCGTCCACTCCTTGGCAGCTGAAACACAGCCTTCTGCCCTCCCCCGCAATTGGAAGTGTCGGGGAACTGAGCCCCGATCCACAAGCCAGGTCCTATGTGGGTCTGGGCCTCTAGAAGTGGTGGTGGAGGCCGAGGTCTGTGCTGAACCCCAGCAATGGGGGTGGGGGGACGGGGCGGGGGTGTTGTTCCCACAGTCACTTGTTTGCAAGGACCAGATTTGCTAAGTGAAGACTCTGTCTTGCCCCAAAGGTGACAGTGATGAAGACTGGCTGTGGGAGCTGGGGGGGACCTGGGGCCCCTGCGGATGTGGATGTGCCCTGTAGGGAGCTGGGGTCATGGGAACGATGCTCAGGGCAGGTAATTAGTCTGCAGGCCGGGAAGGCGTCCAGGTGACCCTGGGCAGCGGTGGGTGGGGGCAGTGAAGATGGGGGGGAGGAGCGGACAAAGACCCAGTGCCCCAGAGTTCACAGGGCTTGGGGACTGCCTGGCTGAGGAGGTGACTCAGCACCCACAGGTAATCACACCCCTCCCAGAGCCTGGAGGCCTCACACCAGCCTCCTGGGTCCTCGACAGCTGTCACCCACCCTCCGTCTTCCCCTCTCCCCTCCATTCTGGAAGATGGCAGGATGAGCGGGGGTACCCTGGGGCCCCGTCCCTCCGGCTCCTACCTTGGGGGTGAACATGTACACCAGGCCATTGGTGGCTCCGTGGAGCGTGAGGCCCCTGATCAGGTAGATGATGAGCACACAGTAGGGCAGCGAGGCCGTGAAATACACCACCTGTGGGCACCGGAGGGCAGAGTCAGCCCCCGCAGAGATGGTGGCCACAGCCGGTTTGTCCACAACAGACCCGCTGTCCCCGACACATGACGCTGCCTCCGTGTCCCGGCTGCTGACAGGGGGAAAGACACCGCGAGTCTGGGTCGGTCCTGAGTCGGCCTGGGAAATGGGGTGATGGAACGGAGACCCTCCAGGAGATCTGGGTCGCAGAGAAGAGGTTAGCAGTGCTGAGGCCCCTGCCTCACCCTCCCTCCAACCCGACCTTCTTCCAGGAAGGGTTTGAGGCAGCCCCCCAAATACACCTGTCCCATGAACGTGTCTGCATTGCCCGGAGACAACCGTGTAAAGGAGGAAATGCAGGCAATCCAGCGATGAGCCACGGACGGGCGGCCCACAAAGCGCGAGGCTCGACCCGGAGTCTGAGCTCGTCTCTGGCTTCCCAGGCCCCAGCGGAGGAGGAGCAGGGCTCACAGGGTCTGCGCGGTCAGAGGAGGGAGCGTGGGGCTCGAGGAAGGACGGGGTCCCGGGCCCCAGAGGCCTTGGCCCTGAGAGCTTGCAACAGGGAGGGGGTGACGCCCCTCCAGCAAAACAACAGGTGCAACGACCGAGTTTCAGGAAAGGCCTCACTTCCACGGGCTTTAAAATGGCAAATAGATGGATTTTTTGGTCCACCTAATATTTTCCTGTGTATTAACTCATATGTACACCGGGGCCTCTGAGACAAAGCAAAGAAATATTTTGCAAGTTTTTTTTTTTTCTTTTTTTCCCCTTTGGGAAAGCAGTTTGCTTGAAGTTTGGGTCCTCCGGTGAGAAATGAGAAATGCAGCTGCTGACCCACATCGGACGGGCTGGGCCGAGGCCGGCACCGTCTTCCTGTGACTCTCCAGGCCGGTGGCTCTGCCCTCCCACCTGGGGCAGCCGGCAGAGGTCGGGTATGACTCTAAACTGAGGTCATTGTACTTGAGAAGAAGAATCAATCCACCCAAGGTTGCAAGAAAATAAACCAGGTTCGAGGCGGAGAGAGTAAGTGGGAAGACAGGACCTCTGACTTGTGAGCTCAAGGACATCAAGGGACATCAGCGGGGGAGGGGTGACAACATCCTTCACGGGGACACTTAGGGCAATTAGGGCGCGCCCTGGGAATGCCCCTCCTCCCCCTCAGGGCGTATTTCCTGGCAGGCTTCTGGACCCCCAGCAGGGTGGCTCATTTCTCCTGGCTCAGGAAGCTGGTGGGGCTGGTGGACGGGGGATCCAGGCCCACCCAGGGGGAGAAGCCAATTGCCAAAGATTCCAACAGGAGGCCAGGAACCCGCCCTTGACAAGCCAACCCCCACACACAGAGCTGATGGGACACTCCTGTCCTGGACAGGGTGTGGCTGAAGCAGAGGAAACAGACGAATAAGAAGTTCTCAGGGCGTGACGGGACCTCGTGCAGCACATTTAGAGATGATCTGGGAAAAGATGGCTCCCTTAACCCCCAGGTCTGCAGACCCTGCCCCCAGAGCGTGTGGGTCCTGTATGTAAGAATCCAGCAAAGATCAACCGCGAAGCCATCTGTGATGAGCGTGGACAGGCCGGGGCAAGCTGCCGGGGCCCAGCTGGGCCATGGCGGGAGCTCTTGGGGGTAAGGTTCAGGCCATCACAGGGTTTGGAAACCAAATGTCCTACGAAGCATGGTACTGGGGTCATCTCACGGTGTCTGAAACACCACAGGTCGCTGTGGTCTGGATTCTTCAAGAAAGACATGGTGAGGCTGCAGGAGACAACTCAGGTGGTCGAGAGGGTGAGGACAGGGAGACTCTTTGGGCCTTGGGGGGGGGGGACTGGTTAAGTCATGAAGATGAGAGAACACACAGGAGGCGGCTCACCAAACTGAGGCGATGAGGAGTCTCTGGGGCAAAGCTGGGTCTGCCCACTCTGCCCTCACCAGTTGGTGTCCTTGGGCAGGTCGCTGTACTGCTCTAAGCCTCAGGGGAGTGGGGTACAAACTCTACCATGAGGGGCTGTTGCAAGGCTGAGACACTGGGCATGCCCCCCGAGGTGGATCTGAGGGACAGGCGAGGACACTGGGGGTCCGGGCATCTGCTGAACCTCGGGCAAGGTGGCAGGCGATAGAAACACTCAGAGATCTCCCTGGCGCAGAGCAGTTACAGGGACGTCCAGCCCAGCAGCAGTGCACACAAGGGGGCGCCCCCGGGAGGAGAGGTTACAAGCCAGACCCACAGCCCAGGGAAAGCAGCTCCACGGAGGTCCTCAAACCGGCTTCGAAGCGCCTGGACTTGCCCAGCCCCGGCGCCCAGGTCGCACCCACCCGAGTTCCCAGAAGCTGTGGGCGTCGGACTGATGGCGGAGCTGCACACCCTCCGACCGGCCCGCAGCTGAGCGGGAGAGCTGGGGCCAGCGTGCCCCAGGAAGTCTTCGACCACTTGAGGTTTTCACAGGTGGGGAAACTCCCCGTCGGGTTGCGTGGTGCTACGTGGGCAGTGTGCATTTGGGGCTGGAGGGGCAGAACGTCTGTCTGTCTGTCTGTCTCTCCCGTGGGGGAACGTCCTTGTTTGAGATGAGGCTGCGGCTCAGCCCCTCTGGCACCTGGACAGTCACCCAGCAGGTGGCGCTGGCAGCGCATGGCCGTAGCGCACGGCCATGCCCACCCCCCTCGGCTCGCCCCCGCCCTGCCCCCTGCCCACCTTGCCCGTGGACGCCGTGCCCCGGAGGATGCACAGGTACACCACCAGCCAGGCCAGGGTGAGGCACAGCGCCGGCTCCCACTGCAGGCTGCCGCTCTCCTGGATGGACGGCGAGATGTTGAGGGTTTTCCGGTACCAGAAGTACTTGGTGGAGGAAGCCTGCTCGCACTCCTGGTCGTAGCCCGTGCTGTTGGCGTTCAGGGGGCACACAGACCACGGCAGGGGGTCCTTGGGGTCAACACAAGCATTATACAGAGAGGTGAGGGCTGAGGCCAAAGGTCAGGTGGAGAGGATGGGGTGGCCCCGATAAGGGGCTCTTGGACGAGAAGGGTGCTGGTCCCCAAGGGGCAGCGGTTGGGGCACCTGAAGGCAGACAGGGCACCAGAGGGCTTGTCAGGGGCACAGATGGGGCTTGGGAAGAGGAGAGGCAGGGAGGGGTGGCCAGGGGGATCCACACTCCCTCCAATCCTGCCGGTGTCTGAGGGCCACCTAACTCCACGGTGGGCCTGAGAGGCGGAATGTACAAGGGACACGGGCCAGGCATCTGACAGCGGAGCTGACCACAGCCTCCTGTCCGTCCCCAGTGGTGGCCGCCCGCCTCGCCCGCCCTGCTCCCGCCGGCTCGGCCGCTCACCTGGAAGGAGTGGAAGAGGTACCAGAAGGCCCAGGCGTTGATGACATTGTAGTACATGGACAGGAAGAAGGAGACCACCACGCTGGCGATGCCTGTGCGGGACCAGAGAGCGCTGAGGGTGCCCACCCAGCCCCTGCCCGGGCCAGGCAGACGCCCCCAGTGTGCGGCCCGGGTGGCAGGGCCTCGGCTGCAGGTGTGACAGGGTCCCCGAGGCTCCTCTCTTCCCTCACCCTCCCCAGCCCCGGACAGGAGGCCGATGGCATCTTGGGGGTCTGTGTGCTAGCTGCTGGCGAAGGCCTTTCTGTGCCGTGGGCCCTCCCGGCAGTGTTGTGAGGGGGGCGGTTGTTTCCGTGCTCAGAGGGGACACGGGAGGCGCCGAGCTTGTCCCCCCCTGGGAAGAGGCAGGACTAGGGTTCAGACCTTGGAGAGGAGCCTGTGGTCGCTGCCAGACCCTGCGGGGGCTCCCTCCTGGCTCACCCGAGGTTAGCTCCCCTGGGCCAGTCCCTGCCCTAAGGTGGCAGGGGGCAAGGGTGTGAGGAGGTGTCAGGAGTGTGGGGACAGGGTCAGGTCTGCGGGGACCTGGGGTGGGGGGAAGAGGAGAGCAGAGGGATGGTTGACCATGGGCCCAGCCACCGCGTGCGCTCTGCCCACCCCTTGCTTCAGGGCATCTCCTTGGTAGCCTGAACCTGGCCACATCACTGTGGTGGTGCAGTCACAGCACGAAATCAGCAAATGCAAGAAGCGCGCCCCGCCCCCAGCTGGGCGTTAAGCATCCACTAGCAGCCCTGCTGGGCAGACACCTGGTGCCCTTCCTATTACACAACAAACCACGCCTCGGAGAAGCCCTCTGGGATTGTTTACTCGGCAGATTGTAGTGCCACGTGCCTCCGTGTTACAAGTTAACAGCCACTCCAGAGGAGGAGGCGGGCGGGGCACGGGACACAGTTCTGCACCTGACACAGTTGACACCCTGGCTTCCTGTCTGGGGCGGGAGGGGTGGCAGGACAGTGTGGTCATCGCTGGTCAAAGTTCCTCCAGCTGGTACCAGGAGGGTGAGCGTGTGAAGGCAGTTTAACCACCGCCCCAGGGTGCCCAGGGCAGGCAGGCTACGAGGCAGTGGCCCTCCTACCCCCTGTGTGCCCAGCCCCGTCACTGGAGGTACTGATGACACCCCTGCATCTCGGTGGTGAGAGGAAGAGGAAATGGGTTTATGCCCAGGGACTCTCAGGCCAGCGCTGGCTCCAAGCAGCTGCTCACCGAAGGACAGTCATTAGTCGCCAGCAGGGGGCAGTCCCCAGAAGGGCTATGAGTGGGGCAGGGAGGCACAGCTCCTGGGGGCAGCGCCCCCTCCCCTCAGACTAGCAGCCTTCGGCCCAGAACAGTGTGGCCTCAGGTCCCCAGTGCACCTCCTCCCTTCCTCACTGTGGGGGGCAGGAGCCAGCCCCTTAGCCAGTGTCCTGGGGCAGCCCCTCTGGGCCGTCTGTCCGCCCCACTCAAGGGCTCTCTCTTGGGCCTTGTGCTGGCCCCTTGCGCCCGCCCCCACCCGGGGAGGCAGGACGCAGAAAGGGTCCCCCCGGGAGCGCCCACCTACCGACACCGCTCAGGTAGGGGCTGATGGCCCTCCAGGCTCCGATGCTGCCCTGGCGCATGCGCTGTCCCACGGCTAGCTCCAGGTACAGGAGCGGCATTCCCTCCACCACGAGCATGATGAGGTAGGGCACCAGGAAACTCCCTGTGGGCACGCAGAGCCACCGCCCGGTCACCAGTGCGCTGTGCTCTGCAACCCGGCCATCCTCTCTGCCAACGCCCTTCCGTCCACCCGCCCTCCCTTCTGGCTTTCCTCCGGTCCACCCATCCTTCCACCTTTCCACACACCCACCCACCCACCGACCAGCCAGCCATTCTCCTACCCCTTCATCTTTCCACTCATCCACCCATTTCTCTCTTCCGCCATCCATCCATGGCTGACGGGCAGCCATGCCAGCGAAATCTCTAAGCCCTCCCATTCCGGCCGATAGATCGCCCGGGTCCCAGCTCCCCGTGCTCCCCCAGCCCTGTCAGAAGTCCCCTTCCCCAGTGGAGCCAGAATAAAGATGGCTTGTTTGGGGTGTATATCACGGCGTGCACGGATTCGTGTTCCTTGTGTGCTATTGGGAATCACATCCACCCCTCCTTGTCTGGTTGTCATTATCGACTCTAGTAAAATGGAACCAAGGGCCGGACTGCTCGGCCCCACTGGAACCGGGCACCGCTGTGGAGGTCCGGCCCGCAGCCTGGGAAGCTTTCAGTCCGCTGGTCTCCGGGAACTTGGCCGGGATGAAAAGCAATATAAAGCGGAATAAGCCTTCACATGGGTTCCAAAAATACAAATCTCTCTCATCCCACGATTAGTATAACTTCCTAACTGTGCGAACTGGAATCAAAGTCTGAGGTTCTATAAACACTGTCAGATCAAAGACTAGAAACTGAGAGTGGACAGTTTTGGTTCGCGGTTCTTATTTGGTGTTCTTACCTGGGTGGAATGCATCTGAGCCCATGGGCTAGTTTTTAAAAAAAATGTATTTACTTTTTTTTTTTTTATTATTGTTGACAGTATTACAGATGTCTCCCATTTTCTCTCTTTTTGCGCCCCTCCACCCAATCCCCGTCCCATCCCAGGCCTTCCCCACACTATGTGTCCATGGGCTCTGCATGTGTGCATGTATGTTCTTTGGTTAATCTCTTCCTGTCCCACCCCTTCCCCACTGAGATCTGTTGGTCTGTTCCATGCATCTGTACCTCTGACCTATTTTGTTCATCAGTTTCTTTTGTTCATTAGATTCCACATATAAGTGAGATCATGTGATATCTGTCTTTCTCTAACTGGCTTGTGTCACTTAGCATAATACTCTCCAGGTCCATCCATGCTGTCCTAAAGGATAAGAGATCTTTCTTTCTTACAGCTGCATAGTACTCCATTGAGTAAATGTACCAAAGCTTTTTTATCCACTCATCTACTGATGGGCACCTGGGCTGTTCCCAGATCTTAGCTATTATAAATAGTGCTGCTGTGAACATGGGGTGCATATATTCTTTCTGATTGGTGTTTAGGATTCTGAGGATGTATTCCTGGAAGTGGGATCACTGAGCCGGATGGCAGTTCTATTTTTAATTTTTTGAGGAATCTCCATACTGTTCTCCACAGTGGCTGCACCAGTCTGCATTTCCACCAGCAGTGTACTAGAGTGCCCTTTTCTCCACACCCTCTCCAGCACTTATTTGTTGATTTATGGATGGTGGCCATTCTGGCAGGTGTAGTTTTAATCTGCATCTCTCTGATGATTAGTGATGCTGAGCATTTTTTCATGTCTATTGACCATCTGTATATCCTCTTTGGAGAAGTGTCTATTCAGGTCCTTTGCCCATTTTTTAATAGGACTGTTTGTCTTCCTGGTGTTGAGTTTTCTGTAGATTTTGGAACTTAACCCCTTATCAGATGTATCATTGACAGATACGTTCTCCCGTACAGTAGGTTTCCTTTACATTTTGTTGATGGTTTCTTTTGCTGTGCAGAAGTTTTTTAGTTTGATGTAGTCCATTTATTTATTTTTTTCCTTTGTTTCCCTTGTTCTAGGTGATGTATCTGAAAATACTGCTATATGAGATGTCTGACATTTTACTGCCTATATTTTCTTCTAGAACTTTTATGGTTTTGCGACTTACATTTAAGTCTTATTTTATTTTTTTATTGTTGAAAGTATTACAGATGTCCCCCTTTTTCCCCAATGACCCTCTCCTCCCGTTCCCACCCCACTCCTGCCTCCCCAACCTAATGTCTGCGTGGATTGGTTCTGCATACATGCATATAAGTTCTTTGGTCTCTCTCCCCACCCTCTCATCCCCCATCCTCTGAGGCTCTCTACTTCCATGACTCTGGGTCTGTTTTGGTTGACAGCTTATTTTGTTCATGATGTTCCATAATAAGTGAAATCATGTGGTACTTGTCTTTTATCTATTTTGAGTTTATTCTTGTATGTGGTGTAAGTCAGTGGTCTGGTTTCATTTTTTTTTTTTTTTTTTTGCATGTTCTGGTCCAATTTTCCATGGGCTAGGTTTCAGTACTTAAAAGAACGTCCCAAAATATGTAGGCTTCTGTACATAAAGGTGTTTTGCTAGATTTGTAGTATATATAGACCCTTCCACATTGTTTTACCAAGGAGGCTTTAACTCTGTGTCTGTGATACAGTTCCTGGCAGGGATGGTGCAACTCAGACATTCGTTTATCTACTTACCTCCTCTAACAAATATCTTATCTGAAGAGTCTGAAAATATAGCTTACCTGAAGAGTCTTTGAAAATGACAACAATGACCCCAGTGCATGAGTGTGCTAGTGATTTTTTTCTCTCCTTGCTAGTGACGGCTCAGCCTAGTGCTGTTGCATCCTGGGAAATCCGAAATCATGATAATTAAAATAGTTGGGCTCACGCTGCAGCTCATATCAACATTACTTGGACTTATTTTACTAACTTGTCTTTAATGTGAAAAGGTATAGTTCCATCGATTTGATTCTATTTCAAATGAGGGGTAGAAGTGGTCCTTCAGAACACTTGGTGTTTGTGTTTGGGTTATACTCTGGTTCCTGAGCTACAAGTCCACAGAGCACGCGCTGGGAGAAGACACGACTCTGAAGTCCTTAGACAGACAGCGGAGCAAGGGCGCTGGGCCAGGGACAGAGGGTGCCGGGGTGGAGAGCCCAGCAAGGGGCAAAACTGGGAAAACAAGACCCTCTCCCCCAGGGCAACTCTCCTCTCTAGCTATCACTGGTCATGTGGTTTGGACCCCCGACTTTTCCTCCTTAAAGATAACATCTGGGCTTGTATTTCAGCTCCAGGCCCAAAAAGGCAGCAAAACCAGACAAGTGACACCCGGCTGCCTCAGGACAGCATGCACCGACTAGGGACCCCTGCCCTGGGGCCAAGCACAACCTGAAACAGCACACCTGGAAAGCTGACGTATATTCCATCAGAGCCTCCCGAGCCTGCCCCTAAGATCCCCACCTGCAGGAGAGAGAGAACGACCCTCAGCACGAAGGACCCAGCGAGGGCTCTTCCTGGGGGAGCACACCAGCGCCGTTCCTCCCCACGTCTTCCCTCTAGGGACCCCTCGGGACAGGCAGTGGGCCACGGCAGCTCCTCTTGGGCTAACCCCCGATCCTGCCTCCAAGGCCCCCTTTTCTAGACCTCCCGGAGAGCGGAGCAGCCACCCTTCCTCGGTTCACTGTCCTGAGTGTGCTCTGCCGAGACGTCCTCACCAACGCTGCCGCACTTCGTCTCACGACTGAAACCCCCTCCGAGAAGACAGAACGAGGTCTCATCCTCTCCTTCCTTTGCCTCCGTAACTTCTTTCTGGTCCCAGTTCTTCTACCACTCACTCCTTTACCTCCGTGACTTTCTAAATAAACGTTCTCTTTTTTTTCTTTCCTTATTTTCCATCATCATTTATCTCTTCTATGCACCCCTCCCCGTAAATAAACGTTCTCTTACACTTTGAGTCTTGACTCTGAATTCGTTCTTAGCCAGGACTCAAGTACCGAGGGGGCTGAACCCTGGTCTGACCCCGCGGGACTAACACCTGTGCCGGTCCCGCCGCCAACACGAGGATAATCGGTCTCACTCACGCGGTGTGGTCGTTGTTACTAACACATCCGATAGGCTTGTGTTTCTCATGTAGTGTTTATCCCAGTTAGAGTATAAACATGTTGTATTGCTAAGGTGGCTAAATAACCAAACACGGGTTTGTGTAAAAAGGGACTTGCCAAGATTTATTTGACTGTTGGATCTTTCTTTTTTTTTTTTTTTTTTTATCCTCACCCGAGGACACTTTTCCATCTTTTGTGCAGGCAGAGTGGGAGGGAGAGAGAGGAACAGAGAGAGAGAGAGAAACATCGATGTGAAAGGAACACATCGAGTGGCTGCCACCCGCACAACCGACCAGGGCCGGGGACAAACCGCAACCGAAGTACGCGCCCTCAGCGGGAACCGAACCCGGGCCTCTCAGGACCGTAGGCCGACGCTCTAACCGCTGAACCAAACCGGCCAGGGCTGTTGGATCTTTCTTGAACATCTAGCCTCTTAAAGAGACACCCTCTCTAAGGAGCAGGTAAACCACACGTGATGGAAATTCTCGTATTTTATTAAGGAATGGACTTTGGTTTGCCCACCCCATCTGTGGTATCATGGCTACAGATACAGTTGTTTACAAAAATTAACAGAAAAAGGAATTCCTAGTCCATCCTCTATTGTAGCGACGAATGGAGGCAGGACCACACAGAGTGGTGAAATACTGGACTATCACCCCTGCATCCGTCCACCCGGCGCCCCCCACAGGGAAGGGGTGAAGGGGTGCAGAAAACAACCCTCTCACTAGGCACTTCCTCCGGCCTCACCGGGGGCTGGTGTGAGATGGACGGAGATTAGCAGCCTGCTCCCCGCCCTGGAGCCAACACCTGGGCAAAGAATGTCAGCTGCCTCTCAATGGTCCAGCGTCACAGAATAGTCCTCCAGGCCTCATATCTTCAGAGATAAGGTAGGGGCTTGCTGTGTGTGTGGGGGGAGACGGGGGGGGGTCCCCAACAGACCGAGCCTAGGCTACCACTTCCTTTTAGGGAGCACCTCTGTGTGTATCTGTTTTATACAGTGGCCTTCAGCCTAAAATCTCACTTCTTTTTAATAAAATTGACTAAAACAAGAATTT